AGATAGATAGATAGATAGATAGATAGATAGATAGATAGATAGATAGATGATAGAGTATGAAAGAGATGGGAAGGGAAAGAGAGAGGAAGGGGAAGAGGAAGAGAGGAGAATATGTTCATGTGTACTTGGTGGTAGGAAATGTCTTAGGACCATAATTATATCATTTGTATTAATGTATCAGATCTCTGCTAAAAATCCATTTCTTTTTCTGTTGGCTAGTTCTTATTGCTTCTATTCCTACACCTGGGCCAGGTATATAGGATGCATTAATTTTAAAATTGTTGACAAACTTCTCTATTATGTTTCAAATGACAATACAAATTAAGAAAAAACAAATAACAAAAATAAAACCCCCAAAACAAAACCAGGGCCTTTATATTTGCATGCCAGCATCATACCATTTAAAGAGTTATGGGTCTGAGAATGACATTGGAATTTTGTTTTTACTTTCTGTACCTTCTGAATGCTGAGGTTAAAAATACTTTTTTCCCCCAACATCATATTCTCAGCACTTAAGGCAAATAATAACTCAGAAATAAATAAGAACTACAATATATAGCATAATTTCTTTTATACACGTTTGTATGTGTATAGCCACAACACTCTTTTGCTACTTGTAGCAGTAGATGAATATTTAATAAATGAAAAATAACACCATGAACTTTGAGTATATATGAAAATAATCACTATATACATTAAATAACATTACATATCAATATTCTAAAACTAATTTGTGTAAAACCATAAAACTATGTCAACATTAACTATCTTATCATAAAATAAATTATTTTCAATTTTTCCACTGTTTAACAAGGTCACATGGTAAGTTTTGCATTCATTTAGATTAAATTAATTTTATTTCAATATGTTATCATTACATATATATCTTAAGGAGATTTGTTGGGAAAAACAAAAAAGAAATAATTCTAAATAATCTAAAATTTTTATATACTCTGACTTCTAGATGTCATTTTACAAAGCATTATCACTTCTCTCTTTCCCTGCAAGTTCTAAATTATTTCCCTGTTATTATAGAAACATTCTTAAAATGCTAGCTATGAAGTAATAATCCTGTAATAATCCTTTAGATGAACTATGTAGCTCTTGTTTTTCATAAGATATTGACATATTTACATCACTAATGTGAATTAATATATTCACAATTTAATTTTTAAGTCAAGAGAATAACGGGTGGGCTCTTAATTGCTAATTTTAAAAAAGAACATTTTGATAAGTTATTAGTCACTTTTTAAAATGTATATAAGAATTATTTCCCAGGGAAATGAATAAAGTCTACTGGAAAAATAGAAAGATGGAGAAAAGATATGTGTGTATTAGTATACTAATAGACTACACATGTAGTCTACACATAAACATACACATTTTTATATATAATATATTAAAATATTATAGATTATGCATATATATAGTATACATGTTGAGTTATGTGTCCATGTATAGAAGAAAAAGTAGATGGAAGAAGAAATTTTACAAAATAGAAAGTTAGAGTTAGAAAAGACAATGTGAAATGCTCAAAGATAACATTTATAAACATTGAAAAAAATGAAAATTTTATGCAAAAATAAATAAGTTGACCCAGTATAAACTATAATGGCACTGTGTAATCAAATTTTGTTTAATAGGCAAACAGTTTTGTGTATAACAAAATTTGTGATGAGAAAAATCTCAATATATTCTGTATTCTTGGGGTGTATCCAATTCCAGTCAAAATAAATACTAATCTGCAAGTGGAAAGCAAGACAAAGCTTTTAGAAATATTAATTTAAGTAAAATGTTTTATTTGACTTTTTTTGCCAATAAAAAACATTATCTACCTTTTTGTGTTTCAGATCAATCACCACTCAAGCTGACAGAAAGCTAACTCTTGTGAGATACTCGGTAAAGAATTGAGAAACATCCCATTTAAGGGCCATCAGAAGAAATTGTCTAACTTAATGGTTTTGTTACAGAGTGTGCATTGGCTTGAATATTTTTTTGTTCCTGTTCCTAAATTCCCATCAGAACTGATGATTAAAGTTCTACCCACTGGTCAGGTCTCCACAATTATCCCATTGTGGTGATGCTCTACTGGTGGCGCCCTGCTATGGCCAGACATCAAGTCATTAGGAAGCTGCAAGGGATGACTAAGGGGGTTATTTTAATTCCCTTTCAGCGCTTCTCAGGAGTGCCTCTTTAGTTCACAGAGCTGTGGAGACTTGCTTTCAAACTAACAAGCAATATTATAAATGGAGGCTGATTATCGTGATTGCAGACCATCTAAAGCACTTGAGGGCCAAGGATTCACACTCCTCAATGTGGGCTGTTTTATATTTATAGCTTAAAAATAGAGAGAGAGTGCAAACAGTAAAGATAATGCAGTGAACATGGAGGGAGGGGAGCCAGTTTAAGGATAAATGCAGCGCATGGAAAGTAGGAACAGAGGCAGAAGGAAGTGCAGACTTGGCCATGTTGTCAGGGTACGTCATATTCCTACCCGTTTTCTTGTTCCGCAGCATAGTGTCCCAGCTCTGTACCAGGAAGGGGCTGGACTGGAGGAGGAGGTAGAGGAACATTAGCCCATGTGGATCCGTTGTTTTTCTGCGCTTTCGAAGAATTTTTAGTTTTCTTCTTTTTTCCACCTTTCCCACCTAAAAACAACCAACATGTGTATTCAGAGAGGCTGCCTATCCAAAGAAACAGAGTATATCAACTGTCAGGATGTACTAATGTTTTCAAAACACCAGGATCAGTATGTTAGACATGATAAAAAGCTATAAACAAGGAAATGATATTCTCTGAAAAATAAAACATCGTTTCTTTTTTTAATGAATTCCACCAGTGGCCTTGTGTCTCTCTCTCCCAATGCATTCTCTGCAGACCCGAGTAAACCAAAATCATGGCTGCTGAATCAAGAGCACATTTATTGATTTATTCACGTCTGCTGCTTCCAGGTTTCCATTGTTCGGCAAAATAGTGGTCCGCAGCAAATTCTTTTAAATGTCAGATTTGACGGCATTTATAACGCTCTTTTACATAATCTCTCTCAGTGGAGAACACACTGTCTAAGGATACAGGCTAAACTTTCCCATTAGAATGTATTCAACTTAATTAATCCAGAGGAATAACATTCTTCTCTCCAAAGTCATGGGTTAAAAAAAAAAATCAATCAACTGTAAGCTAGAGAGTATCTGTACATGCTTCATCAAGATACATTTCATAGACTTTTTGTCTAATAAGTTGCACCATTAATTGTATATATTATGTTAGGAGTTCTCAACCATTTTAATTTTTAGCATTTCATAAAATTCCAAAACAAAGGGACTTTCTTGGAAATAGCATAATTAGGTTTGGTACTATGTATAATACTAATGAATTCATGCATAGATGAGGGGCAGATAATAAACCAACAGTGTATGAGTCATATCTGAGGTTACATGGAACTTTGTGAATTGTGGAAACGGAACATCGTCCGAATTGCTACACATCTTATCCTTCCAAAGTTAAGTAAATAAAACTTGTTCATTAACAAGGAGGGGGACAATGTCGGTATAAAGATGAATATTCCTTGAACAAAGAAGCAGAAGATATTTAAGGGTACCTAAGCAGGTCACATGATTTCTATATCAGCTCCTGTGCAAACAGTGGAATTGACCCTTTGCATTTCATCATTATTAAGGACATTTAATTTGTAAGTTGAGTTGGGAGTGTAAGAAATGAGGCTATCCAGTCACGCAGGTTTCATGAGAAACTCATCTATTTCTTTTTCTATTACTCATCTGAACTAGCAAAATAACATTATATAGTATAATAGTAATATATTGGAAGCCTAGCAACAGATAATATTGTTATACTAGACATTTATACTACTGAAGAGGACATACTTTCTACATGTCATGCATGCCTATCTATTAGATCATGACAGTAATTGTTATTTTTACTTTCTCTTTTACTTTCTTGTTAGAAGAAAAGGTAACCACAGGGAAACAGTACAAGCACCTTCTACAGTAAGCTTGTATGTGTAAGAGCTTGATTTCTGGACTTGAGGGCTAATTCCTTTATTATTTCATAGGTCAGTCAGTAGTTGTCATCTTAATTTCCATACACAGAAAATAGATAATTCTATTTCCCTGAGCTATCTTTGGGATTAAATTGCATGTAAAATATTAAATATGGAAAGCCAGACAACATTGTTCTCTTCCAACTCTTCTCTCATTAGTTAAAATAAAATAAAATAGAATAGAATTCAACTTCTAGTCACCACTACACTCCTCTCTTCTCCAACTTTTCAGTGAGTATGCCGTGAACAGTCTAAGTATCTAAGTAAAGCAAACCATTTACTGATGAATAGACCTCTATTTTTTTTCTTTCTGAAATGAGTCTTTGAATGCTTAGGCCTACTAAATCATCAACAAAGACCAACTACTACATCGTTTTTGCAAAAACCTTGAATTGAAATTAATATTTTGAAAAGAATAGCCTGAGAATCCCATCCTTCCTTGCTGCCCCACTAGTTGTACTTTCTCTTTGCTTTTTGTCTTTTCATTAGGACAGTCTTCAGGAATCCCCATGGCCCTTTTGAATGGTTATCTGGAGCTGAGTGATGAAACTTGGAAAGACTTTATGTGTTCATTATAAAGGTGAGATACTACTGTTCTTCCTGGATGCTTGAGTCAACTCTCATGTTCACATCATCAGAGTGAACTCTGCATTCACCAGGCAGCAGCTTGGCAAGAGCCAGCTGTTTGTGTAGTGCCCCACACTACTACTAACCCAACTGTCCTTCAGCCCTTATGTAAATCCATGCTGAAATTCTTACTAAAATTCAAAAAAGCAATTCATCACCTACTATAGGAAGCAACAGGCTTTTAAAAGGTGGTTTGGAAACTGTGGATTCTTAGAGGAAATTTCCGACTTGATCTTGTAGTTAAATTCTGTTTCTGAGATCTTAAGTGAAATGATCCATTTACTGCTACAATCTTCAACTCAAAGCTCAATCATTCTAAGTGAGAATTTCCTACACAATGTTTCTGATGCTTTGTCAAAATAGTTGACCCCTATCTTTAACTGAAAATGTAAGTATTTAGTTGGTTTATAGCTAATAAATGAATACTATAAAAAACTATGAAAACAATTTATTTTAAAGTTAAATACATGGGTCAGGGGCTGTGAGTAGTTCAATAATTGTCTAACATTCATGAAGTCATGACTTTGATCTCATAACTACCAAAAATGTTGTATATATAATTATAATATATATTATATTGAATGTATACTTATTTTAAAAGTTTGTACATTAAGATTCAGTAATTTTCATGTATGTGTGATTATTAGTGATATTTAAAAATGTTTTATATTTTAATAATTTGACTTTTAACAGAGGTTTTAGAACTTCCAAAAGAAATATACTACAATATATTTTAAAGAATATATTTTAAAGAAATGTATTTAAAAATCTATATTTTAAATGAAATGTATTCACTCAAATATGTCAGAAATGGAAGTTTCTTAATCTCTGTGAGTTTAAAAACTTATTAAATATCAACATGGACAGATAATTTACAAATCCTAAAATATGATATGCAAACCTAGCCATATGTTGGTTTAATCTTACCTCCTTATGAAGCAGATCAGAAATATTGAACTCCATTGGAGTTTACACTCAACAGTAAATTAAAGGACAATCATTTTAATCTCAGCTCCTAAAAATTTGATCCCTGTAATTTTGTATTTGAATGTAGATAAAGTATTTATTGTAACTCCTAGATCTATACATAAATGTCATCTGAGGTATTGCTGGGCTCAAAAAGCAGAAAGCATTGCTGTGATCATGTTCTGCTTAGAATTGCTTAAAAAATAACATTTAAAAACTGGTGATGATTGATCTCTACGATGTATTTGCTGGCTTGCATGTCTATAGACAACATGGCTTGTAGTATGCTCCCTTTGAAACATACATATATTTAATGAAGTAAAAAGGAGGCTTCAGGAAATTTACTTTTTAATTATACAGAACAATTGTGGGAGTAATTATACACAAATGACAGCAAAAATGACATATAAGGTCATTCGTAAAGTTCTCCTCTGTTATTCAGCCTCTTTAAATTCATAGCAGATGTTTAAAATTTTTGTATTCTATAATGTATCTAATCCTACCAATAAGCAAAAAGAGCAGTGACTCATTGTGGAGGGAAAAGAGGGCATTAACATTTGAGACTAAGAGGATTCTATCTCATGAGGAAAAGTAATTTAGTAAATGTAATCCGGTGTTGTTGAAAGTTAACTCTTTAAGGTCTTGAAGTCTGTACCAATCACCAACACACTATAACCTTTTACTACTTATACATATTTCAAAGAATTCATATAAATGGCATATCACTCATCTGAAGAGATAAAACAAGTTGTGTGACATCATCAATTAGAAATGTACAACTGATATCAACAGTCATAAGGTGTGAATACAATTGCAAGGTAAAGTGTGTCTACCACAATGTCTTCATGTTAGAGGCGAGATTAGTCATGGTAGAACATTGTCAATGGTGCATATTAGGATAGATCTGCATTTCACTACAACAAATTGCATTTACAGCTATGTGCTCTAATTATGCTGCATCATAGTTAGCTCGGCTCATTTCTTTCAAGCACATGTTGAAATTCACATTATAAAATTAAGCAGACAAGTAAAATATTATACGCATGGCTTTTAAACTAATGTTAATAATTATCCGTACTTATTCTTGATTCTTAGCACTGAATCATGTGATTTAAAAGATAATAAGCCTCTCATGTGACATTTTAGAAAAAAAATACAAAACTGTGTAGCTGTATTGCCCAAACATTAGCATAACAATGCTCTAAACTATTGTCATTTCTATCATGTATTTTCTAAAATCGATGACCTGGAAATAAATATCTGTATAATCTTAATATTATGAAGTTTCCTTGACCAATAAATAGTGCTCATGGCAGACAAAAATGTGTCTGTTCTTCATTGAGCAGTTTTGAGGAAGCTGGGTCTATTGTTTTCATGAACATCCCTGTACAGTTAACAAAGAGTGACAGCAATTTTCTCCCTCCTCCTTCCCCCCAACCAAAGTACAACTTCACGATGACCAAAGACTATCATTTGATAGATAAATGCCTGGTACTGGGTTGTGATTCAATATTTCTTCAACACTAGCTAGGAACACAGGTCATATGCTCTTGACAAACAAATATTTCTCCTTACTGTGATCAAACCAACCTGAGAGACTGCCACTCCTTTCTGAGCTGTTGTGAGAGCTGGTGGTGCTGAAATCCTGTGACTGGTTGTGTGGCATTCTATTAGACAATCCCTCAGCCAATCGGTAGTCAGGGATGTAAAGTAAGGCTAAGGGTTAAAGGGCAAAGGTCATAGTGGCATCATGTGATTAGTTCACAGCACAAGCCCATGCAGAACATGCAGTTAGCAACTCAGAAGCAGATGTTGTGGAAGAGCAGAGGAATGTTTTATCTGTCCTTTCCTAATGGAAGTAGAGATGGATTGCTGGTTATTATATTGAAAAAAATGCTAAAAGAATGAAACCATTGGTGTTGGTGTGTGATGGTGGATTCAGCAGTGGTGGGGTCAGTGGGAGTGGTCACATAAGGTGCTGGATACATACATGCCAAGAGATTATTTTACTTTAGGTAGTAAGCCTTGTAATGGATCACTAAACTGAACACTGAACAATAAATACAAACTTCTATCTCATGCATAAATGATGTGAAAAATAATCTCTCGAGACACAAGAAATGACTCACCGTTGTTCCCCTTGTTCTGATCAGGTAGGGAATAACCAAATCCCATGAGGTCTGTTTTTTGTTGAACTGAGGTTTTCCACTGTGGATCCGGAAGATCAACTGCCAGTTCGTGGATGCTGTTGGAATGCAGGATCTGGGTAGTGGCATATGGGGTGGCCTGTGTTATTTGGCTGGAACTGTTGTAAGTGGTTTTGGTAGTGAAGTCAATGCTGCTATAAATGGCTCCATCAGAAAGCATGGTTGCTGTTTTATCCCCTTGGCCTGGAACCGGAGGCAGCACATCTGCGGGGAACATAGGGAAACAAAACTATTTAATGATGCACAGGAACCCAAAACTATCAAGACTGAAGATGAAAAATATATGTGTCACACTGCCAGCCTGCATTGCAGCAGAGATTGGCTTCATGAGCCAATGAAGGGGAGATGATAAACAATCATTGTCAGACCATCAACCCCAGTGACAGGCTAGCTCGACACATGTCCTTCATGTCTCACTGCTTACTACATCTCTTCCCAAATTTCTTAGAGCAGGAATTAGAAATTTGAGATGTTTCACTATTGAGAAACATACCATTATTCACTTGTTTTTAAAAGCGAAGAAATGGCTAGCATTTGACAGAAGTGCTGCTAAAAGGGAAGCTGCAAATTACAGATGAAAACATTTCTTTCCACTTTAGTGAAAAAGACATAGAACATAACTGTAGTACAGTCCCCCCAAAAAATGGTCCAAAATTACAATTTCCTCACTATGAAATAGTATTTTTCCTGAAGTTTTAGCTTGATTTTAAGATGTTGAAAATGGAGAACAACTGATATAAAATGAACTTCTTTTTTGTGAACAACAAAGGAAAATTTTCATGAATAAGTCATTTTCACAATACAGAGGATTTAACACTAGGAAAAACAAGCACTCTTGGTGATCAGTGGGTTTGATTTATGCTACCAGCTCTGAGAGGTAGAGAATTATACTTTCACATTGTACAACAACAAAAGTAAAAATTAAACTTTAGGGATAACAATGGATATCAGTCAGCTTATTTTTCACTTGGGGATGTGAAGTATCTTTACCTGATGGTTTACAATTCAGATCTGCCACCTCTATCCTGGGCTTACTTTCTTCTTTCAAAAAAAAATCTAGAATTGGTGAGTCTTCGAACACAGGTTTTAGTCGTTTAGAATTAATATCTATCTGATTATAATGCTTTCCCCGATAACATACACTCTACAGACCTTGCACTCTAACTTGATGACCTCACGCCAACTGGTTTGTTCATTCTACAAAATATTTCAACTGCCTTAAAATTTAGACTTAATGATTCTCCATGGTACATGAAATAAAGACTCTTATAGAAATAGTGTTGCTTCTGAAACTTACTATAGATAGAGAATTTGTCTTCATGACAGAAAAGTTACAATCTATTTTTACACCAAAAAACTTCAGTTTAGAAAGGTTCTGAGCCCAGAACTACAATGTGTTTTCAGTGAAATAATTTTTCTTTACAGAAGTAAACATCTTAAATGAAGACTAGTGTGATCATTAATTATTGTCAATTTTATAACATTTCACTGCATTTTATAAGCAAGTAAAATTTATTTTCTAGATTTCAGAATTGCCCACTTTCTTATCCTTCTAGTTTTTTAGCTATAAACAACTATAAACTAATTAAAAGTTAAATATTAGTATCCTTTTACTCTTAAAATCTTCAGGTTTAATAATATTATTGATAATAATAATTAATTGATAATTAGTGGAAATGTTCTGATCAAGGAGTTTTCAGACTTGCTGGGTTTTTTTTTTTTTTTTTTTTGCTTTCTCAATACTTCCATCCATTGACAAGTCTTAGCTAAGTAGCCTCTCTCACAACATGGGCCTAGTCTCAGACATCTCAGACCTAAACCTCTCTAACATTTTAGCCTTAGATTATAGGACAGTTTATTTGTAGACTCTTAAAACATTTTTTGGTGTCCAGTTGATTAAAAAAAGGAGAACAACTAACAAAAAATGTAACCATATGTAACATTACTCTGTAAGGACATTGACTTTGGACACAGGCCCTCTGTCTCCCTGGTAGACTCAATTATAGTCAATATCCAAGTGAAAGTGGATCTATAATGTTTTTTTTTCAGGCTTCAGAATCGTTTAAAATTATCAGATATTTTTTGATCACTATCATATTTTCAATAATAAGTAAAATTATGTCCTAATTTTGAAATATTAGAATACTACTCATGAATATGTGTATGTGGAAGGGAGTCTAATGCTATCAGATGGTTTGGAACTGTGTGTCAGCGATTCTTCTAACAGGCTGCATCTGAACGGGCATCAATATAGTGACTTAGCACTTGCTATTTTTTTTTCATTTCTCCTGATTCCCAAGAACTCCCCCTTATTGCCTTGTTCTGCAACCTTCTTGCTGATACTGTCAAGTCTCAACATACTGATACATACTGATACTGATACAGTCACGACTGTTGAAGTCGTGAATTAAAGAAGTATTGCCCTGCAGTTGGCATCATCATACAGCATAGACCATCTTGGTTTTACTCATATTTATAAATTTATATAGATTTTGCTACATCATTTGCATGAACTACCCCCTGTTTTCACTGAGTCTTTAGTTACTTGTAGAAATATTCCCTTGGGTTTTATGACTTCCTATCCATCATTCTCCATCCGGTGGTGGGAAGTGAGAAAAACACTTGTTAATGAACAGTCTTGATAAGAGGCAAAAGTATTTGCTAGCAGGTTATCCTATTTGAATTATGATTTCTTGTATATTTAAATATGTATTAGAATCTCAATATTAAGGGAAAAATGTTAATGTCTTCAGTAAGTCTTGTATATGCCTTTGATTATATAAACATATCATATATTATAGTCAACTTGGAGAAAATGGCAGGATGCAGATAAAACACTCAAGGCTTTAAAATTGGATCTGTCCTACTTTCTCCATCCACAATTTAAGTTATTATTTTATTTTTTAAGATTTAAACTATATATTGTAACCTATTTTATAACTTTGTAAAAGATAGAACTTATTAAGCATGAAAAATATAATATGTTGGTTTTCCAAAATAAGTAGCAAATATTTAAAATGCCTAATACTCTGAAAAGAATACAGAAAAACCTACAAACATTCTTTTATTGTTCCCAGTGTGCACCTCTGAAACATTTCACTTCTCAAAAATAAGATGGTAATAAGGAAAAAAAAATCACAAATCTGCACATATACACTTTGGCTAAATTTGAATAAGATACCCGAGAAGTTAATGTAGCTTGCCTAACTCAGAAGATTCTTTATGCATGTATTTATTGAACATAGAATGTTGTGTTACTTGGATTCAAACACTAGTAAAAAAGTCAGCTATTCCTGGATGGGTATTGGAAACCCAATAATTTTTTAGAATAATAATTTTTGTGGAACAGCAGAGAGGACATAGTAGGGAGAATATATTTGGATGAATTTAGGCACAAATATTTCCCATGTGGTTTACACAGAGTTCAAAGCTGACCAGTCAATCATACAGCTTCCTTTCTATTGTCAATTGGAACATGATGGTCCCTATCAGCATGTTGATTGCATTCTATGGTTTATGTCAAATACTTCCTATACTGATCGCACTAAACAGAGATGTAGCCTTGACCCTGATACACATCCATTCAATTCTCCTTATACAGTTTTTTTATATACCTTTATTCAAGGAAGATATATTTTGGGGAAAGTAACAGCTATTTAGAACATGTTTTTACAGTAGGTAACTGAAATGTAAATACCCAATTAAAAAAAAGAAAATGATACAATCTGCCATAAAATAGTGTTGAGCTAACAGCTTGTGATTGATCATAAAATGATTTTCTATTTTAATTAAATCACTGTAAATCCATAGAGATATAGTAGTATGCAAAATTATTAGCAACTACTGATAGCTGGAAGTATTAGCAGCTACTCGTACGATTACACCTTTTATTTGCAATATCAATTATTAGCCACAAATCTTCAGAAGTTATTTTCTAAACACGTCTTATTTACTTAGCTATCTACTCTTCATAGATATATTATATAGTGGTTATTATATCAAATTTATATATTCCTTGAAGAGGTACTTGATAAAGCACACTGACTAGGACTAAATAAGCAAAACATGTAGAAAAACACTGAAATTCCTAGTTTCTAGTTTTATTGACGATGTGCTAATATTTGAAAAGTGAATGCTCAGTCAATATTTCTCTCCTCAATTATTAATGATTTCCTTAAGACCTTAATTTTACTTAAATTGATACAGAATTAAGAAGACTTGTCAACTTAAGTAGTTAGCAAATTATAGTTCTATGGCTATATGTCTTTATTGCCTTAATTACAAACAAAGATACCCCTTAAAATCAATTTCAATAGTGTATGTGTGTGTGTGTGTGTGTGTGTATGTGTGTGAGCATATGTGAGTGCAGGTGTCCTTACAGTCCAGAAAAGGAGCCGGAGTTACAAGTTGTTTAAAGCTGACTAATGTGAGTACTAGTAACCGTACTTCAGTCTTCTGACAATTGTATCCTCTTTGACACTAAGCCATCCACTCAGTCCCATAAGGAAATTTCAAATTTCTTTTTGCTCCCTGGGGCCCACACAGTTGGAGAAGCAAATTGAGATCTGCAAGCTTCCTTTTAGTTTTTCCTTGTATACATGTGACCTCATATTTGTTTACTTATAAACAAAACTAAATATGTTTAGAAGAAAAATGAAATAAAATAAAAATTCCAGATCACCAAACTAAAAGTAGACATCCAGATGACATATAATATTACTTTCATGTATACAACTTACCTCCACGCCCAAAATTTCCAATTTCGTTTGGGCCACTATTGCTGTTGTTCACTGGCAAACTCGTGGCTGGCCACGAATCAGCAAGCCACGGATAATTGGGATCACCAGCATTTAGAAGACCTGGACGGCTGAAACAGAAATGAAATGAAGATTAGCTTGTGGGGCTCAGTGAGAGATTTTGATATCATCCTTACAGGCTAAAAAGGGTAAGGAGATATAAGATTTTAATTGACTTCAAATTAAATTGCAAGTGCTCTTAAGAACTAAATAACTTTAGTAGTTCATTAAAGCTATACATAGATCTTCTCTGTCAGTGGGACTAAAGAGGCTTTGCCTGAGATTCTGCCCACATAAAAAGGAAATCAATTGTCCATCCTGGAACTAGTGGGAAATAGGAAGGAGAGTAGGATCTTGAGACCATCTTTTCTGGTAAGATGGTATCTCAAAAGTACAGTTCCTCTGAGTAGTGGCTCCTTCCCTGCCATTCCCAGAGAACTCAATCTGTTTTCTCTAGGCTGTCACCCTTACACAGAACCCTCATACTTGATTGGAGGTGGATAGTTTTAGGAAAATTAATTAACATTTCTTATACTTTTCTATCCATAGCACATTTCCATATTTCCCCTCACTAAAAAATAAAAAGGCTATTAAGGATAATTTTTAAAGGTAGTAAAAAATCCAGTTATGAGACTCAACACGTTAGCATAGTCTATGAAGAAAACTTCTTTCCTATCACATTTAATGAGGAGTTTTGTTATTTAACATAAAGATGGGATTCTGAGTCCTTTCCAGAATATTAACATATTTACAAAGAAACAGATCATCTATAATTGTTGTACTTTTTTTTGATAGACCCCTTCTGGTATAATCCCTAAGAGAAACATGTGTTTCTATGGAAACTGCAATAAGAAGATTCAATTGCTTCTTGCTATATCCGCTAGCTCTCATTAGACTTAATCTCTTTTTGCTAAAATATTGATTAAATGGGAGATTGGAAGTTATTACCAGAGCCTAATTACAATCTCCATATTGGCAAAGGGAAAACAGATGAGGATATATGGGTTTGTTATCAGCTTTTATCAATTTCAATTGAGTATCCAAAGTTGTGGAATCCAGTCCTATCAATCTACAGCCTATTCATCATCCATGAATCATTTACTTTGTGATCGATTATGTGTAATTGTTCACTCACAGCAATTTAGTGAGAGCCAATAAGGAGTCTTAAACAACAGCAACTTCATTTGCTAATGTCTAATTAATGCAATAAACATCCTGCTAACAAATGAACACATTCCTTGTGATATTTACTACTAATTTCTTCAGGGGCATCTGGGAGATATGAAACATCTGGACTTGATTCCTCTAAAGTGCACAACAGATAGACCATTAAACCTTGTGGTAAGCCATTCAATTCCTCCTAGAATTCTCAGACTTATAAGTGATCGTTTATTACAATAATAGCTTCTCACTACAGAATTTCCCCAGTACTGATTAAAAATAATAATAAAAAGAAACTCCTTAGCATACCTCCCATTGCTCATTAGTCCTCCATCTCCTCTTTGAAATGTTACTGTAATAAAAGAAAGACATACACACATAGTTAGTATTAATCACCACTAATAACAGCTACCTATTGGGCCTCAGTTTAGAGAGGAAGGCTGGGAATTACAACACAGTATAATTAACGGAATTATAGAGGTAACAACAAACCATGGCTTGGTTTGGGAAAAAGTCATCACTTGCTCCTAATTTAGTAGACTTTTTCAAGTTTCTTTAAACAAAATGAACAGCTAGAGTGGCAATTTGTGTTTAGATGTGAAAACTGGATCATGTGGTGCACATGCAGTCTTACTAGAAGGATGTCATAGCATTACTGTGGAAATATCAAATGTAATAATTTATTGATAACAAAGAATATCTTACTTGAGGAAACAATATACAAAAATTCACATTGAAGAGAACTAACATGGTTCTACTTGGTAATATACTTCTAATAAAAATACAGAAACTATTGATTACATGCATCACCCCGTCACAGATAATTTCAGGCATACTTCCAGGCATTATTCATCGAATGGTGCTAATTAAAGTAGACATAAACTGCTATTAATATGGAATATTATTCTCACAACAATGTAATTTGTGAGTAGTTGATACTGAACGAGTTCCAGTTATGTGTTAATATCTCAAGTTTTCTATCATACTAAGTAGATTATTAAAAACAAAAGCACCAAGGAACATCGAGTAGAATCAATGTCACGATTGCCATGATTCTTTTTCCTCCAATTAATGGTTTCCACTTCACAAGCCAGGGACATGAAAGTAGCCTAAAGCACTGACCAAAGGATTTGAATATCAGTGTACAACTTCTTTTAGATAAAATGTATTTGAGCTTCAATGTAATTCCCTTAAGCAGCTAAAAGTAGCTAAAGCTGAGTCTACTCAATGGTATCTACTCTTCCTACAAGAAAAGTGAATAGGCAAGTTCAGTGGAGTTACCTGTACACATAGTTTCAAGTTTATTTGTATAAAATTTTGTCACTAAATTATCAAACTAGACTTCTATGTAAAAGATATATGCTACTTAAAAATCTCTAGAAGGAAGAATTGTTAGGATCTTGCAATTTGGACCCAAATCTTTACAGACCAGCTAAGGTGATCACAGGGAATGATGGGTGAAAATTGAACACTTACCCTTGTCTTTAAATGATAGCAATTATATGCTCTATGATTCATTCGATGATAAATGTGAAAAATAATTTCTTGTTTAAAGAATTTGCTCATTTTAAATACAGTGTATTTTCCCAATGTAAAGACAGTTTTAATTTGAAAGTTTTCTGTGACTCATCATTTGCTTGAGCTTCAGATAGCAAGTCTGATCACTCTTGAATGTTTGCAAATTCCTAGTATTGCAAAGCTATCCCTTGAATGGTCATCAAGTAGGTAACATTTTCTCTTATAACAGCATCATTGAGTAATAAAACTTGAATTCTAAGGGTCTAGTATACTTAATGACTGATAATGTGGCTTCCAGAAATATCATGTAGGGCACCCACGTATACTGCTGTCTCAGCTTTTAGGAAGACACTCAATGTGCTATGAGACAATTGAGACATAACTTTTACATGTGTCCATAACAACTTAGAGACAGCTCCTCTAATAAAATGATACTGATTATCACTCCTCTTAGGGGCTTAAGATTTGATATCAGCAGTGCAACTATACCATATTGTTCCCATTTGATAATTAAATTTTAACATAAATTAATTAAGCAGTGATAGTGCAGGTATTAGATAAACTGAGTAGAACACACAAACCTATGTGAACACACACATGAACTGACACAAACTGAAACCAGTACTGCTGACTACCAGACCCTCATCTCATGCATCTTACTAGCTATGAGGTTTACAGCACAATACTAAGGCCAAAATGGAGTTAAGATGATGCTATATCATTGTGAGTATGCCAGAAGGCAGTGTTTGGTGGGCTACACTTCTGAAAATGATGTTAAAAGATGCTTAAAGGATACACCAGAAGATACATAGTTTTCCTTAATGAAGAGGCTCTTCCTTCCCATCCAAATTTTGGATGACATATATGACAAAAAGGCGTAAACAGACTAAAGACATTCAAATTAGCCAGTGACAAATTTTCCATAAAATACAAAGAATTATGGTTTAATACCCAAAACCTAATCAGAGAGTTAGCATTCTTTAGAGCTAATATTCAGTTATTGAATGCTATAGTGTGCTTTATATTTACTACTTGGGAATTAAATATAATTATGAAAGGACTTGGTTTTTAAAGTGAGTCATACTCTATGTTCAAACAAATTCATTTTCTCTTTGTATCTCAATCATCATTCAAAATCTTATTAAAATGGCTCTAGACATAGCAGGCTGCCAAAGATTCTATGAAGACATGTATTTTTGTATAACAATTACAAAAATATTTACAGGACATTATGTAATTATTTATATAAGTTAAAATGACCCTCACACATACAATTTGGTAAACATGAGACTCTACTATTTTGTATCTTTCTGTCCAAAAAATGAAGAAGGAAGGAGGAGATGAGGATACACACACACACACACACACACATCCATGTACTTCTTATCACACTAGCATTAACTACTGTCTTATCTTTTTGAGGAAGTAGGTATCCTTATATAGCCCTAGTTAGCCTCCTCATTGTATAGCACAATCTGTAGAACAGTCTGGTCCCTGTTCTAACATCAGCCTGGCCCTTCCTCCAGAATGATTGTATTAGGTATTTATCCTTAACTGGATTTTTTTTAAGTGAAGGTGGAAAGTGGGCAATATATTTCTTTCTTACTAGGTGCTTCAATTTGAAAATAGAACAAATCTAACAACAGAATAAAAGCAAGTGACAAATTATGAGAAAATTTGAATCGCTACAGTAGAAATTGTGTATGATCTTACAATAGCATTTTGAGAAGTCATGCAGAGAGAATTAAAAAAAATAATGTCATAGCCAATAGAGAGCTGGTTTGAGGCAGTTCTCGATTTCAAAGAAATATTTGCCCTGTTGTGGAAAGATCCAGGGATCAGCAAGGAGGATGCCTCGCAAACTCTGAGCCGCTGTTTCTTTAAGCACTGGCCAGTCACTTTGTGTGTATCAGAGATAAATTTGAAAGGACCTTGACTGAGAATCAGAAATTTCTGCTAGCATCTCAACATAGAAACTTCTAGGGAGCTACCTAGAGTAGCTTCAGACATGAACATCTAAAATATTTTAGAATTGCATTAAATATTTGAATTTTTTTGACATAAAAGTCAGGAGGAAAAGAGATTTTCCAAGTTTGTGTCATATGCATAGCCATTCTCTGCTTCTAATGTCACAAGGCAGAATTAATCCTTGTGGCATGCCTGCTAGAACTGGAGGGAAGAGGGAGGAAGTGTAACTATGAAGTAAATTGACATTTTGAAGCAAAGAAGCTTCTAGAGTGCCTATCTCTACTAGGTCACATTTTTCTCCTCCAAATTGAAACTTTAATATTACAGCCTAGCCTTCTTCCCCTTCATGATAATATGAATGTATTAATCCTTTTTAATAAGCATTAACGAAGCCTGGTAATCAGACTATAAAAACTCCATCAAATCACTGAGCTGTCTTTGCATAGCTCTGTCAAATAATTTCTATTTTACCAACAGTCCTAAAATCCATGCATAGAGTATTTACTCTGTTATAATGTCCTCAATCACATTAAATTGTTGATGTGTACAAAGCTTTCATAAGTATCGACCTTATAGATAATATTCACATAATATAACATACCTCTTTACAAGTGAACAGAGGCCATATTTCATTAAAATTTGATTAGTATAATAATTGTAAATTTAAAGAAAAGTAGGGGCTGAAGAGATTGCTCAGTGGTTAAGAGCACTGGCTGCTTTTCCAGAGGTCCTGAGTTCAAATCCCAGCAACTACATGGCAGCTGACAACTGTCTATAGCTCCACTACCAGGAGATTTCACTTCCTCTTCTTCCTCCACAGGAACCCAGCATGCAAATTGGAATACAGATATACACAAAGTCAAAACACTCATTCACATAATATAAATACATTAATTAAAATTTTTAAAGAAAAAAATGAGAAATGTGTATTCATGAGATACTTGTAATATTTATAAACACTATTCAGTTATATGTGTACATATAATGTATATTATGTTTCAATCTAATTCTTTTTTTTTTCAAAATTTAAGTGTTCACTATTTTGGCTATGAAAACTATTGCAATTGTTATCATATGTCTACTTTGTATCAAAAATTCATCTAAATATTTTTTATAAATCTCTCTTCAAATGTTTCTTACTTTCTATCATCTGAAGTTGTAAATTCTTCCTGCAATCAGAATCCTCTGACACAGGGAGCAGGAGAACACCTTCCTCTATGAAAATGGATGAAAATGTGACTACCTGCTCTATAGTCATGAAAAGCTACGGCACAAATAATGTGAGATATAAGGACCTATTGAACAACCATTTTCATGTGAAGACTTATATTACATATATACCCATGAGCAAAATGGTACCATGCGTTTGTATCTGAGAATTTAAGTATGAGAAGAAAATAATTGCAAAGAAGAAAATAATTGCAAAGAAGAAAGACTGCAAAAATGATGTGCAAGCTTGCCCTGAAAATCCCCTGCTTTTGGCTGTGCAGAGCAGCAAAACCTGTTTAGACTAGATTCTCCTCCAAGATGACTTGAATGCATGTGTCTGTATTTGTTCTTGATATTTGCTTATGAGATGAGGGTTAGTTTATTAGATTCTAGTAAATATGATAAATTCACTGGCACCCAAAGAAAGTTATCAACACTGAGAAACAGAGTTTTGTGTTTGTTTGTTTTTTCTCTTTTCAAACTTTATCAATACTACTTTTATAACAATGACAACAACAACAGCAACAACAACAATAATAAAAATAATAATAAATAATAATAATAATACAGCCAAGTTTCAGAGAAGACATGAGATACAGTGAGTGTTTGTCCTGAATATTGTATGTGGGCGGCCAGACTTCATGTTTCACCCTGCAAACTGTTTCTCTGCCTCCAGTAATTATTTCTTACTCCTTCGGTAGGAGCTAAGAATAGACTTGGGATAAAGGTGTAGGAAAAAGGGATGCTTTAGCCAATCTTGACCAGCTCTATAATCCTGTTTCTTATCCATTTAGCTTTATTCTTTATCCATTTAGCTGTGATGCCCAATAAAGAGATTATATCAAACGATTATCTATATTTTAATTCAATTTTCAAAATAACATAATCAGCCAGCTCATAAGTTTCCACTTAATACTTCAACGCAGCTTCGCATCATCCTATAAACATTTACACTTTTAAGTCATATAATGATCTAAAGCTGACTCTGAATTGACTTGATTTGTTGAAACTTGTGACTCCCACCATAAGATAATTATTAGAGATCACACAGACCTAAACCTGAAAGACTGCAGCCACATGTACTGATGAAACAGTAGACACTTCAGAAATCTCATCCTGATATTGAAATGACACTGCTCTAGTCTTATCTGACCTTGTATGCATAATGGTAAAATATCAAATTTCCAAGAGAAGTTTTGGTGAAAAGAAATATAAAAAAGACAAACACTGCACATTTACTCTATAGTTGTTATAAAATATGTTCAAAAAATTAATTCATAACTACTCTGTGCTTTTAGAATGGATCATCCACTCGTTCATGGAAACCATAGCTACAAACTGTTGAGAATATGTGCATAACTCTCCATTCTCATTTAAAATCTCAAGTTGTCTACTTTATGTACATACAAAAAAAGATAAACATCCTGAAAGTTAGAAGACCTGATACTAGGAAAGAATATATGGAGACACTATCACAAGCCAGATAGAAAATGCTACTTTCCAGGGATTTGGCAAATTTTCATTTGCTTCCCATCTAGGAGAGAGCAGGAATCCTTAGCAGGCAAATGACAAAGATAGAGGACATCTATCCTCAGAGTCAGCCATCTATCAATTAAGTATTAAAGTTTTTGAAAGGCTTCTCTCAGCTTGGCCTTCTTCCAAATATCTGAAGGGCAAAGCACACTCTGAGTTAGCAGTCCTTCTCCAGGCTCACGGGCATCAATCACAATGAGTCATGACAGTACAAAATGGACAATTCTTGTCAAGCTCAAAGACCAACAGATATTTTCAAGTTAAGTGCATAGGTTTTGCAAAGGACTGCTGTGAGAGACAGGAAGAGATGTCTGTCTGATGTAATTGTCCTGAAAGTGGAAACTGTGTGCCGTGAGAGCTATTCTACTAATCAGGAGTCAGCAATTGAAGAAGGATGGAAGTTTTAAAGGCACAGTTCCTCTAGTGAATACATTAGGACTTTTCATTACAGTGACTTCCACACTTTATCTGCTACTATTATCACTAAGTCAATTGAAGGAAGAAGCCCCCAAATGTCCTTGAGTTAAAAACCAGGCCTTCCTTATATTTTGTATGGCTGATATGAACATAACACAGAAAGACATATAGCTTAGTGACTGATGGAACAGATGGGATGATAGACAACAACTGGAGGAGTGAAGGGAAAGGGCTGGGCTATAAAAAAGGCATTGAAATACTATTGAAGAGTAAGATTTTGCCCCCATCACTTATTATTGACTGTCCCTTTCAGGGAAGGAACTCTAAATGGTGCAAGATTGAACACTTAGGTGATGAAGAGAAAGGAAACAGGCAGCTTTGACAACTGTGAAGAGATGATGGGAAACTTCTTGTCAATGGATATGATATGCCTTTTTAAGGCCTGATGAGTAATTAATACACTGCATTTTCATATGCTACAGACATGTAAGAACCATGTTGTAGTTAAGTCACTATATTTCTTGTTGTATCATAACGAGCAAGACAACCAAGTGAGTGTTATTTTTCCATATTTTCCTGTTAAGACATTGTATTCAATTTTCCATTTCTAGCATAAATGTTTTAATAACTGAATTTGACAGAGAATTTACCAGGTGTTAGAATGGTAAACCTAAGCTGGGCAGTGGTGGCGCACACCTTTAATCCCAGCACTTGGGAGGCAGAGGCAGGCGGATTTCTGAGTTCCAGGGCAGCCTGGTCTACAGAGTGAGTTCCAGGACAGCCAGGGCTATACAGAGAAACCCTGTCTAGAAAAATTAAAAAAAAAAAACAAAAAAATCAACAAAAAAACAAAAACAAAAAATAACAAAACAAAACAAAAAGAATAGTAACCCTAATTAAAACTTCTGTGAAATTCTGCAGAGTATGTGTAACTATCTCTAAGGAGAGTTACTACCTTTTATTGATGCTATGGAGAGTAGTGAAAACTAACTGCCGTATAAATTGTAATAGCATATAGCTCCAATCCTGAATTCATTCATTCAGCCACTGACAATAATTTTCATGTCTCTATCTCCCCCACTTCTAGACGCCCTCCTTCTCTTTCTGTACCAGCCACCAACTCATTTCTTTCTCGTTTGCAGATGTTTAAATGGGCAACGTCCAATATCCTTGAAGCCCTTTTGCTTTATACAAGAAGAAAAGTATTTTTGGAAGTGCCTCAGATCATCTAGGCTCTCTCTCCATTCATTTCTCCTGCAGCCATTTCTGCTTCCTTTCCTCCTCCTTTTGCTTCCTCCTATTCCTGCTTTTGAAAATGCTGCTTGCTCACACTGCAATAGACACCGATTTAAGGGAACAGTAAATCACTTCATTCATGCCTCATCAGTTTTATTAATTCTGGTGAGATTTTGGCTTGTTTGTCTTATTTCCATCTGGGACATTTCCCAGTGTAATCTGCATTGTGACATACTAAAAGCTGATTTTCAAGTATTTCCTTCTTTCTCCGAGAATTTTAATAACTCCCTTGTCTAAATACATGTCTCAGAAGATGTCTTTATACCACACAAGATCTCTGTGTGTGTGGATTTGAAGAACTAGAAAACAGTTGGACATTTTATCAGTGTCTACTCTTGCTATGCTTCGCTGGAGATACAAGCAGAGAGATTGCCTGTGGTCATAAAACTGTATGGTCAAGAGCAATGCACTGAAGCATGTTGCTTATAATTGCATTTTACCGAGCGGGTTTTTATAACAAGCCCAAATCATCCATTTGTTATTCCATTCCATTTCTTCCTCTCATCACATTACATTCCAAAAGATAAGAGGGTTTTATAGATGAAAATAGTCTCTTACCAGCATAATTGCTGAGTCCCTTTCTCTTCTTTCTTCTCCAGTATAACCAGATGCTAAAACCCATCAAAATTACCCAGCAGGCACCACCAATGCCAGCTATAAATGCCGGTTGCTTCACGACATCAGTGATTTGCTCAGTTATGCTGTTATTGTTTTCAGTAATGACAACTTCGTTACGTCCCCCTATGGAAGGAACAATGGTGTCAGTAAACAATAAGACAAATAATAGCAGGAATACAAACACATTATGCCAAAGGCACAGATATGTCCTTTTAAAGCTTAGCTGGTATTTGTTTTATGCAGAGGTTGTCAGAATTACTGATAAGAACACTTTAAGTTTAAAAGGAAGTACTGAATCATATGAGTGCCATTGGAAGGTTATTTTTTTTTCTTATTTGTCAAAGAAAGACTCTAAACCACTTACAGGTTTATAATACAATATGATATTATAAACAAACATTTGAACCCCTACTAGGAACTAAAATGACAGATACTTTTCTTAAATTAGATAGTTTTTATTTTTTATTTATTTACATTACATCATGATAGCTGCACTCCTCTGGTCACTCCCTCCTACAATCCGTCCATCCATCCCCCAACTTCTCCTCTGAGAGAGAGGAGCTCCCCTCCAGGTTATCTCACAACCCTGGCGTATCAAGTTCAAGTGATTCTTTATCAATGTTCTCATAACACTGATACTTGTGAATTGCTTTTCTCTACTGTTTTGCCTATTTTCAAGAGGGATATTTCACAAGGTAGTATAATTTCATATAACCACTGATATTCTAACGATGATGTTATATACAAATACGCTTTCATTTTGGATAAGGCTTACAATTCCCTAGATAGAACAGTAGCAATTATGAAAACATCAGTTCTTGGAGCTCAATATGTATAATTAAAACATTAAGAGATGCTAAAATGTATGTATCTCCTAAGATCAGTTAAAAGTAATCTGACTTTTAACACTGAATCAAGGCATGTTATGTTTCAAAACTTTAGACCTCAGAAAATCAACTAAGCAAATCCCAAACCATACTTAAAAGCTTGTGGACTTGAAGAAGTATAAGGATGTTGAAAAACAAAATTTAAGGCATATTTAAAAGCTTAAAAACTTAGAAAATGAGAAACAAGTGAATATAATGTCAATATCATTTCTGGTCAGTATTTAATCTGGTCAATATTAAGCACACATGCACACGCACACACACACCACACATATTGGATTCATTGTGATATTTCTTTTCTTTCTTTTTGAGGACTTTCTTTATTATTACTGTAAAATGCATTTGCTTTTAAAGTGGTTTTGTAAGTAGTCTTCCTTCTCTTCGAGACAAGTGTCAAGCTTTTAGATATTTTGGGTTATCTTAATTGAGCTTAGTTAGAAAATCGGAGTGTTACTGGTACCTGGCTTATGAAACTGTTCAGTCTACAACTTCCCATGCATGGGGAGAGTTCCAAATCAAAGTGTGATCAAGACCTCAAAATTCCAGAACTTGAGGTCTTTGCTAGAATGAGAATTCATTGTGTTCTAGCGAGGGTAAGAGGAGCACACCTGTGTGCCATGTGGCATAAAGAATCACTTTAAGAGTCCTTCAGCTGGTTTTTCAGACTTATCTGGTGAATTGCTTAAGATTGAAGATATCATGGAGCTCAAGTAATTTCTAATCTACCCTACTTATCTTTGCTTCCAAGACAGAAAATGAAGACACATTCCTGGGCTTTTCTTGCCATCCAGTGACTGAATATGAGACAATGGTCTGTAGACAGGGATGAGTCACATTGTTTTCAGCTCTAACCCTTAACTTTTCAGTGACAGGTCTCAGTCCTCTTTCTTTTTCCTCATGTGTTAGAAACCAATGTGTGCTGGCATTCACTGTGTCTTTAAAAAGTAGAAAAGTTCTTGTTTGGGAGAAAATAAATTGCTGAATGACTTTGGAATAGAAAGGACAGTCGCCGTTCTTCAAACCCATCTTTAACTGGGCTACAAGTTAAGAAACAAAATATTTGTTGTTGGTAAATAAATAAAATTGCAAGCTTATCTATTATAAATGCTAGAATTTTCTTACATATATATGTACATGTATATATATATATATATATATATATATACACACATATAGAAATACTACACATACACACACAGGGACACACATACATATATTTCATTACTATATATATTTTATGCCTTTTCATTTCTAAAGTAAGTTCAATTACATAATAAATCTTTCTTATCTGAAATATATGCATTGTTAGATGTTGTATGTGTAAACATAAAAGTTGTATTTTAATATCATATTTTAAATAGGTTATCTGGTGACTTTTTCCCTATTAGCAGTTACTACAAAGCCAACAAAGATCAATCAAACAAACAACAACAAACCCCAAATCCCTGACAGAGCATACAGCAAAGAGTAAAAGAAGACTTGCTCCATTTTAAGGGGAGTCCTTAAAATGTTTCATTCAGCACTGTGCTATATTTCTGTAAGCCATGGTCTATTATGACTTCTTAAGCTAATGGTTGTAATGGTTGTTAAAGCAATGTTCTCAATTGTCCTAAATGGAGCCCAGACAAGGGTGGCGGGACCCACTGTGCTCTACTTTTCTTGCAGACAAAAAGAAAGTAATGAAATATAGTACCTTCCTCCCATTGGAGAGTAATGAAGAACAAAGTAATTTGTTGGAATGAGACTTAATTAGACACATCAGTTTCAAATGTATTTATTTCTGTGACAGCATATAGTTCTACAAATGATCGCCATCTCTCCATGATGAGCATCAAAGATGAATAACGTTTTAAAAAAGGCTTTATTATTAAGAACGATTATTGAAATCTGTATCTATTTGATCTATTGAAATCTTTGATATTTGAGGCACTGTTTGGTATGGATGAATTTTTTTCACATTTTGTCTGTTAGTTTAACTACACTGTTTCACATGAAATCTGCTTTCACATAGAAAGTTGCTAAAACAAAACAAAACAAAAACAAAAAGATTAAGAATAATTTGAATCTGTGTAAGTTTATGCATCCTATTTTACAATATTTAAGTATAGGTTTCTTCATAACACTGAGATGGAATAACTGAAATTTTACACAGTCTGGCATATCAGAAGTCTAAAATTATGAACCACAAACTGCATCAAATGCCAGTGCATGACTTAATTAGTAAAAGGAAGAGAAGGTAAGCTGGAGTCACTTTGCATGCCTCTTCCTGTATGTACTATACAATGGGGGAAGCATAAATTGAAACAGAAAAGTAGATTAGCCATCATTAAGCTACTATTTGACTGAGAAGTAGCAGTTGTGTAAAGAGCATTATCAGACAAGATGTGAAGCTTGATATGGGAGGATAATTAAAGAAACAATTAGGAAGTGTCTCAGGATAGCAGTAGATATTAAAAAGAAGCAAATCTCTGGAGGACAAAATCTTTTCTGGGTCGAACTGGACTTACACATGTGCATGTCCTCATTTCTGATACTACACTATTGTGTTCCCTGTTTGCCTCTTGAGTATAGCATATTCTAATTACCTGAATAGGAGACAGGAAAGTCGTTTTATTGTTTTATTTCTAGAAAAATTTGAACAATTGTTTGCCATACTAGCATGGATTATAAAGGGTGTTCAAAATCCAGTTAGGGACTCAGTCTTCTAGAAGTAATGAAATTCAGTAGAACTTTGCAATTTATTTAACATAATCTAAATTAAATCTATTATTTTGCTAAGCTACAATTGTTCGGAGAAGAACTGTGCTTGTTATGACACAGCATTGATATTACATAATGTTTTCTTGGTTCCAACAGAAAGAGGTCTCCAAAATATTGTGTGTAGACAACGACAAGAAAAAGAAGAAAATTTCTTCTGCTTTAAGAAATTTCTTATTTACCATGTACAATAGAAAAATAGGCATAAAACGGAAGTATAGTTATTTGGCAATCTCACTTATCTTTGAGTAAGAAAAACCATATTGAGTAAATACAGCTCATGTTTGTTTCCCTTTTAGGAGGTCTCAAGAAGAATTATCCTTTTCTTCTAAAGCAAAGTACCTTGGTCCATCAACAATGATGTAATTTATAATTGGAACCTACAGTGAAAGGAGATACACTCATGTATATTTTTGTTTCATTTCATCTTGTTTGGAGACAGAGTCTCTGTATGTAGCTATAGCTGGCCTTGGGGTCAGTGTACAGCCTATGCTAGTCTCAATGTAGTGAATTTATTCTTTAGCCTTCATAGTAATGTGATTATAGACTACCAGTATTTGACATCCCACCTGGACCTTCATATCTTCAAAATAAAAGGCTTATTTATAACGACTTTAAATAAAATATATACTTGTGCATACACATGTATATGAATATATGTATATTTAAATCCTTTTGAGTATACCTGTATTTTTTCCTTACTCCAATTTATTTCAGAAAATCTCAGAAGGGCAAGTTTGTAAGTTTCCCTCAGGTTAAGGAATTAATTCAGTCTGAACAACTAATTAAGAAGGGAAAGGCAATTTAGAGAAAAGGTAATACTTTAACTTTTCGTCTCAATGCCATCCATTCAGCAAACAAAGAAAAGTTGAGAAGTCTAAAACATTTAACATTATGACTACATACAAAGTATATCTCTCTTCAGGAGAAGAAACAGTCACTCAGAAATTGGTGATATCCTGTCCTGGTAACATTTCCCAACATTAGAAAATCAATGAATGCTTTATCAACTCTTAATGAATGTATACTCTATGTTTTCGTTTAGTGTATTGTCTATATAGAGTGAAGGGAGTTGAAAGAGTTTACAGACTAGAGCTGCATCGAAGCCATCTTCACTGATGAGCTTTTGGTTCCCTTAATGACATCTTCAAGCCCTACATTGTAAGCAAGCTGGTTGCCACAGTGATAAAACACTATGCCATTTACATGACATGTCCGAGTTCACAGCTTAAAATGCTAGAATGATAGAGAATTTAAAGGAAGCCAATATGTAGAAAGGAACCATTTGAGAACAATGTTCACCATTAACAAAGATCATATTAAAATAATCAAAATTCCTCTGGTATGGTTAATATTACCTAGTCAATAAATATTAAGGAAGAGACAACATAGGTTGTATCAAAACTTCTGAAGAACATAGGGGAGCGGGAGACTTCCCACCTACTAAGGGCATTCAGCCTCATTCAAAAACCTGACTGAGACACTAAAAGATAAATAAGACACAAGAATGAAAAGATTCTCCAATCAGTGTCCTTTATGAACACAAATTCACAATTCTTTATCACACGATACTAAACTAGATCCAGCAACAGACACGAGGAGTATAATAATGACCAAGTAGAATTCATTCTCAGGAATACAAAGATGATTTACCCTTTAAGGCTCTTTAGTGGAATTTAGCATGTCAACAAAAGTGGAGAAAGAAATATTAAAATGAAGTTCACATATAACATAAAAACTAGAATAGTCTTCAAACCATTTGACACAGTGGTGCACAGTGGTAGATATGACTTCCGTAATGAAAGCATGTATTATGTTCCTAGGAAGCACTCACTGCTACATTTACTCAATTTGACAAATAGATTCAGTGCCTTTTCGATTGCAATTCCTTGATGCCTTTATAGAACTTGACCGTCTGATTGGAAAAATATGTAGAAAGTAAAAGGCCTATCCTGGCCACAGAACATTTTTGTAGAAGAAAGTGATGGCATTTTCAAATTACCAAATTTTAAAGAGCCTTTACTAGAGCAATGTAAACACTGTCGTTTGGTATATATAAATGCTATAAACCCTGAAAGGGATTCATATACATTTACTTCATTAAGGGATTGGTCAAAAGTTTCTGTCCATTCCATTTAATAAATTTATAGAATATGTAAGCCTTTCAATGCCATGCAATTACCTGAAGATCAATTATCATCCTAGGCATAAAAGCTAATTATAAAGCTTCCAGAAAAAAATTAAAGGGCCCTGTGTAGAGATATAACACTATTTCTCTGACAACAATATATACAAAAGATAAAATTGCTAAATTGTACTTCATTAAAATTCAACACTTATTGAAAGGCACTATTAAAATAAATAGAGAACTCATGGACTAGAAAAACTCCTCTCTCTCTCTCTCTCTCTCTCTCTCTCTCTCTCTCTCTCTCTCTCTCTCTGTGCGTGTATGTGTGTGTATTTGAAATGACCAAGAACTTCATCCAATATTCAAAGAAAGAAGAAATTAGTATAGGTAAAGTTGTTACACATCATTAGCATGAAATTAATTTGAAGCTAAAATCATAAAGATGCACACTTTACATCCACTGGAATGCTTCCTGTTATAGAATGGCAATACCAAATCTCAGTGATAATGCAGAAAAGCTGAAAGTTCTTTTTCTGGTTTCTGGAAATTTCAAGTTTTACAATTTTCAAATTGTTTAGAAACTTCAAGAAACATTAACAATATATAATCCTATTATCTGTTAATGCTACATCCAAGGATTTCTTCCAAGGAATAAAGATATGTGTCTTACAAAGGCTCCCACAAGAATTCACATTTTATAAATAAAAAGTTAGATTAAAAAATAGAGCATATACAAAGGATTCAACACAATTCAGTAAACAGGCATTAAAACTGGAAAATACAGAAAGAATCTCAGAACACCACTTGAGTCAAAGGCCAGGCACAAATTGTCATGTTCTAGGTAAATTCATTCATATTCTTATCAAGAACAGATAAACATCACCTCAAATGATGGGGAAAGCTTTTATTCAAGAATTTGATGCCGATAAGGGCCTGATATGGATGTCTCCTCAGAGGCCTTCAAGAGTCTGACATATTCAGAGGCAGATGCTCACAACTAGCCATTGAACTGATCATGAGGTTCTCAATGGAGGAGCTAGAGTGAGGACTGAAGGAGCTGAAAGAGTTTGTGGCACCATGAGGAGAGCAACAATACCAACCAACCACAGCTTCCAGGGTCCTAACCACCAGCCTAGGAGCACTTATGGAGGGATCCAGGGCTTCAGCTGAATATGTAAGAGTGGAGGGCCCTGCCGGGCACAGGTGGAAGAAGAGATCCTTGGCCTCATGAAGGCTGGATGCCCCAGGGGGTGGGAATTTTGAGGGTGGGGAAGTGGGAGTGGGGGGGTAGGTGGGGGTTACATCCACGGAGAAGAAGGAGGAGGGGTAAGGGGATGGGGGGTTCCCGGGTGGGTGGGGGATGGGGTAAGGGGATAACATATGAAATGTAAATAAAATATCCAATAAAAAAAAGAATTTGAATAGAAATAGATGAAGTTTTCCTTTTACTTGTATATTTGCATTATCAAGTTCTTTTAGGCAGCTTCTCATTTTGACACATAGTGGCATAGAGGAAGTATACAGCTTTCAGTCAAAATACACTCTCCAGTGATTGCCTTGTTTTTCTATATTTCCATTGAACCAGAATTACTAGTGGATCTATTAAATACAAGTAATTTCTTTTAGCGAAGCTTTAATAATAAAACTTTGTGGTGGTAGCTATAAGATTATAAGACATATATGCAAATACTTGTTTGTGTGAATTATATGTATGGACTCATGCTAACTAATCTACTTGCCTATATAGCTGACAAACAACTCTCACAAATACTGTGATCAAGATGAATACCCCAAACCACTGTCTGTCTTATTGTCCAAGGATAGATGCAAAGTTCAGCCTCTATGGACCGATACTCACCAATAATTATCGGCTGTGGTTCACTTTTTACTCCAACCCCTGCACTTGTACTAGCTGCCACTTCCACCCTGTACTGAATTCCAGGGAACAAGCCACCTATTACTACAGAGCGAATGGCTGCATCCACCGTTTTATTGATATGGAATCGAGTTTCATTTCCCAAACACCAGATCTGTAGAAAGGGAAAGCAAAAAGAGACAGTATGAAATTCCCTATCTGAGAATTTGGCTATTATAATCAAATAAATATTTGTTCATAGTGACTAATCTATTATATCATCTTATAAAGGTGTTTGTAAATGACATCCTAGCCATCCATACCTAGCATGCTGTTTTCCAAATTCTGGAGAGATATAAAAACACATAAAAATATCAAAAAAACCTATTGCATTGAATTTTTTCAATGTTTAATGTATAACCACGTCATGATTTAGCAAAATTGTATTATAAAAAGTCCGACACAGTTTGCATCTTAAACATCAATGGGAATAATGAAAAAACAGGGATATTTTTCATTTACATGAATCATTCCATAAGTGCAAAAATGAGACAATTATTTTTTGCTGTCCTTCTGAAATCTAGTTTCAATGGCCATACTTTTTTTTCCATGGGAAAACACAATGCAAGCTGGCCTTGGCAGTCCTGTTCACTCCCAGCCCAGTTTTACATTCCTCACACTCAATTATCTCTCCTTGATAAGACAGGAAAATGTGGGTTTAGTGAGATCTTTACTTCTACTTCGAGCCACTCCTTCCATCATTTTCAATCCTATTATACTGGAACCTACTCCACTCTCGATTCTCCAAATGGGTTGTAAGTCTCTGACCTTGATATTAGCTTCTCATTCCCTATGCCTTCTTGCCCTTGCCTGTAATACAACCAAAGCTGACACTTCATTTTTGAGCCCCTAGGGACAGGTTATGTAGCAATGGTCCTAAGAGTTATTGAGAAAACATCCTATAGGCCTCCCTTTGTTAGTATGGCTTACCTTATATTCCTGAATAATGCCATTCTGGTGGTCAGCTGGTGGAGGATCCCAGGAAACACTAATGCTTGTGCTGTTGTGGCTTCCAACTGTCAGCACAGTGACAGACTGGGGAGGGGCACTTGGGGCTGCAGAGAAAATAAATGGATTGAAAACAACAATTTCTGGTATGCATGTGCTTACAGAACATGAAAATAAAGACAAGACTTTTAAGGTTCTGCCTTCCAGTTGTTTGGGATCTGCCTATATTTTTTAACAACTGACAAGATATTTATAAGCAATCTTTAAGTTCAATGCATATTTTAACATGGATACAGTGAGTAGGAGTATTATACGTTCAATAACAAACTAACCAGATTGCATTCTTGGCTGTTTTCCTGTGTAGGACAGTGTGTTGCTAGTTTTAAATCTTTCTGATGACCTTAGAACATGGAAAAAACACTCATCTCAGTTTTGAATATGATTTCCACACTGTAATATATTTACTGATGTCAAACAAGAAGTCAGAAATTAAGACCAGAATGTTGGAATCTAGAAATTATGTGTTTTATCTTTAATATTTTGTAACAACTGCATGTCTAGAAGAATATATCACAATACTTGAATCAAAAATATTCTCAGATGATTTACTCCAAAATGCAAACAAGAATTGTTTCTATAAGCTGGCCTTTTTTTTGTATTGCTTGAGATAAGGTTTACTATGTAAAAACAAAAATAAAATTATAAATCTCACTAAAAAATAATACAATGCTTTTCTTTCTATACTGGGACAAATAATTGACTATTAAGAACTGGCTTATAATTTAAGGTTTAAAATGTATTTTATGTGGCTGGGTAAGGGACTTTCCAAATAAAATGCTAACAGGCTCATGTTGGGTCAGATGTGAAATGGGGATTTTCTTTTTTGATTTCCGACAGTCATTCTCTTTCTTTATAGTTTCTCCTATAACTAATTACAACCATGCTGAGAAGCGTAGAGTGAGGAGCAGTTTCTGAATTTAGATTGCAGGGTGCCCTTTTCAGGGATTCCCAGAGCTAGGAAACATTCACTAACTGTGCAGAACTCAGCCATTATCAGTGACCTTCTTAATTTAACTCAATAGTAGAAAGAAGAACATTGGAACATTGAGATACCACTAAAAATCTGTCTAGAGAGTTAAAACAAAGAGTTGTGGACGACTAAATGCTTTCTTTAACGATCAATGCCTTCATAACTTCACAATTTGTACTCCTTACAAATATCCTCAAATACATTTCAAAGGCCGGCTAAGGAGGTGTCCCATGTTTGGTAAATTAACCACAGCACATTTCATTGATATGACAGTTGGATTGAGATAAAGACAAAGAGTGACAGCTGCTAATGCAATTTGCTACTTTCTGTCCCTTTACGCGACAGTGCCTCTCCAAAAAGTAGCACTGACATAAATCTGACCACTTGTCTACAAGCTTTGCAGTTATTAAGTAGTAGAGTGCAATGAAAGCTAACACTTGGAAGCTGAGCTTCCCTTCTCCTTGTTGTTAGCTAAGCAGGAGAAGTCTGAGCTGCTCCCTGACAGGTCAATTATTCCAGTACTCAGTTTCTTTCTCCAGATCTGAAAGAACGTGAATCACTGTTCATTGCTCTCAGACTCAGTCCAGATGAGTCCATTTGTTACATTCATCAGGCCACAGAAATGTGGACCAAATACAGAAAAATGTCTGTTCCACAAAAAAGTCTACTGCAGTGAAATTGGCTTTTGGAACAAGGCTTAAAGTTATCTTAAGTTATAATTATTCGCCTGGTGGAACAAATTTGCAGTGTAGGTGAAGCTTAATAGAACATAAAGATTATTGGAAATGTTAGTATTTTTTTATAAATCTTAAAAGTAGTATGTTTTCAAATGTATTCACTTCTGTCTATGTTGATGTATCTCACTGCAAATCAACATGAAGTTAATATCTTTTATTGTGCATGAACATCAGCCTGTTGGTATTTGTAGCTTGTTTACAAAAGGCTGTTTCTTGTGTCATTTGACACAAAATGTTTTTAGGGTAAACACTCTTACAGAAAGTGTACACATGGCAGTACAGTTGTGTTCTCACTGTTTTTACTTTGAGGGCAACATCCACTAAAAGCTTCTCATTGACTAAAAGTAAAAAGACTGGCTAAAGTGTCACTATGAGCTGACATCATAGTATCTGTGGTAAATCTGTTCTAAATATGGGACAGAGAAGTGGAATTCTTCTAAGAAGATGGCCAAAGCATGTGTCAAAAAGGCTTCCAAAGAAGAGATGGTGGCTTACATTGACCTTCCCTATGAAGAAAACAGAGTGAGAGATGCCAGGCTTCACTATATCCTCAATCAGTGGTCACCATAAGACTGTTTGGTGAGTGTCTTACAGAATGTCTTCTGAAGCCAAATGAGTGATGTCCTCATTAAAACATAGGAGTATATTATGATCAGATTCAAATGTCCTAAAGCTGAAGGTATAGGGCCAACTTTTAAGAAAAGATTAATATTATTTTTTCTTTTGTTTTTCATTTTGGTCTTTTTGTGAGACATACACTCAAACCACACACACACACAAGTCACACATACTTTCACACACACACCCTCACACATCCTCACACACCCTCACACACACACACCTCACACATATTCTCACACTGACACACTCACAGACATTCATACACACACTCACATACACACACTCACACACACTCTCACACAGACACACACACTCACATACACACTTATTCACTTGCACAAACACTGACACTCATATGCTCTCTCACACACACTCTCATACACACTCATTCACACACACACAATCAAATACATGTGTACACACACACACGTGTATTCCCACCATTTCACTTCATTTTTTTCCTGAGAGTATTTGGAGAAAATTACACTCCTGGATTCACTCATATATGATCCTTTTATGGTCTTCCAATTAATATAAGCAAGAAGTATAAAAGAAACAGGCTAAATACAAGTTGTTTTTTTTTTTTTTAACTGAAGACCATTACTGACCTTCCTCAGTAGTACGGACTGTTTTCGATTCACTGTCCATTCCTTGGAACTCATTAAAATATGGCCTGACTTTAATTTCATAAGTCACTCCCTTTTTCAGATTCACAAGGACAGCACTCCTCTCAGTTGGGACTTTGGCATCTAGATTCTGCCACACAGTTGAGGCTTGTAGGCCAGAAGTCTGACGGTACATCACTCTGTAGCCCTGAATAAACTGGGGTTGTCGGTCCACCTGCAAAACGGCATAGTACAGTTCAAAAAAATCAAGGAAGACATTGCTGAGAATGTTGCCCCTCTCTGGCCTCCACATGGCCATCTGAGTGACAACAAGGTCTTCTCATTAACACCTTGCTTCTAATAACGTTCTTCAATTGCATGTGCAAACTGTTATTTTAAAATCTTTCAAAAGAGAAGAGTAGGCCAACTACGTCCTCATCTCACAATACCTCACAACATCTAAGCTGGAGTTTTGTTTTGTGTTTGTTTTCTATTCTCCTGCATTGAGCAATTCCCATGTTTCTGGTAAAATATGGAATATGCCATTTGGTAACATCATTTCATTACTATCTTCTGATTCAGAAGCTTTTGGTGTTTTTCATACTGATAGATGCCAAAACTTGGCTAAATTCTGAGCAGGAAAATGGGCAATGGAGGAAGGCTTCTTAGTTTTCAGGGGATTAGCTAATAATCACCCAATTAGTTGTCAAGGTACAGCCACAACAAATAATCATAGGAAAATACTGCAATTATGATTTACTGGGACTTAGAAAGTCTACAGAAGGAAGGAAGTTAGGTTAGAGTACGGACAATCTCCCTGAAGTCACAACTTCTGTGATCTGAATGAAGCAGGAATTCTTACTGCCCTGTGTCTGACTAAGCCATAGGTGAGACCACAGCTGTGACATCATGTTATGTTTTAAAGAGTATGAAAGTTCTTAGTTCTCAATGATGTTCAAATCAAAGCACATCATTTTACCAAGTTCTCCCCTCAAATATTACCATTCTGTATGTTTTGACAACTTCTATGGCTTTTCCTATATTATATAGCAGCTATTACTTTTAACTAGGAGTTTGAGCTTTTGAATTTGAGAGATGAGTAAGATGTTCTTTTCACTTTTTTGATGCCTCGGTGACAGCTCAGATGGAAAACTGTTGCCCTTGTAAGCTTGAAAACCAGACTTCGAGTCTAGAACTTACATTGAAACAACAACAAATCCCAGTTGTGAGGATGGGTACCTGCATGGAGGAGGTGAGACCATGGCCTACTGGTCAGCCAGCACAGCCTCTGGCAAAGCTCAGTGACGGATGTTGAGTAGTCCTGAGAATAGTGCCAGGACAAGCATGTGCTTGCCCTCCTCCTCCTCACTGTCTAAAAATCCCATAGGTTTTATCTACATTTTGTTTGTTTGTTTTATTTGTTTTTAAAGACACATTTTTCAAAATGTTATTAGTTCTTTGAAAGCTTCATACAATGTGTTTTGAGGATATTAGCTTCTCCTCCAAATCTTCCTGGATTCTCCTTGCTTCCCTTCCTACCCAACACTATGAACTTTTTTGTAAAAAAAAAAAAAAATTATCCTTCTAAAAGACATGTTTGTACTGACGAAATATTCCTGGATGTATGGTCTTTTACTGGAGAGTGCTCAACTTATCAATGGCTACATACACATATTTTAATAACCCTTTCTTTTTCAGCTGCTAGCAATTACCAAGAACTCCACAGTTTGTGGTAGGATTGTGTACCCAGTTCTGTCTCTAAGCTGATATTTGTCTCAATTTGGGCTTACACGGGGTTTGAAGAATCTGTCTCTACTGAGGCTCTTTTTTTTTTTTTAGAGATTTTATGGTTGCTTCAGTTACGGAAAGAAATGGCTTTCAGGTTTTAGCTTTAATCACAAAAAGAACGTCAAATCATTTTACTGGTTTGCCTTGCCTTGTCAATGCATGATTTGAACATAAGCTCCCATAGCTGCTTCTCCAATCAATACCCCATACTATAGCTCAGTAGCCAAATGCTAAGAAGCTTGAAGCCAACCATTTCACTGTCAAAGTGTAAAATTTAGTGAAAAATAAATGAAATGACCTCATTTCAAGGCAGTTGTGGAAAAATAAAGAATATGAGTTTTTAACTATGGCTTAAAGAATTCAACTATATGCATGCTATAAGTAAAAGCTGTTTCTTTTATAAAGTAACCTGTAATCTTTACTTGTTCAGTTGTAGTATTACATCTTTTTGAGAGAACGCTTCCAATTGATGAATAATAAGTTACATTAGTATTTTCATGAAGAAATGAAAAAAAACCTGCAAAACTTCAATTAAAATGAATAGAACAAAGGAATGGTTTTTTCCTCTATAGAATGACCCTGCTAGAAGCATTTTTGAATACTCATGTGTGTCTTACAAGCAAATCTTAGGTTGATAGATGAGTCTCAAAAAAATAGAAATTTCTTTTCCAGTTGACAGATTTTAACCCACAAAGATTCTCAGGAATTAGAGGCTGTATCATTATGAGGTAGTATCAATAAAAATTAAGGTCTAACAAGGAGGCTCTTGTATGATCATAGAATGCTCAGTCATGCTACCAATTTGTGATTGTAACAAACTGATGTGATTTTTGAAAAGCAGAGGTTGCTCTGACATAAAATTAGACAACCAAAGAACAAAAACTAAATTCATGAGAATCAAAGGGCATTTCATCAAAACTGACAGAGTTTAAAAAACAATCCTTGCCACATATGTTAAAACAATATTAAGTTTACATTTTATAAACTTGTCTGAGTTCCCTTTAAGTGAATTTATATACTGAAAGAAAGGCATAACTCACAATAATAGCTTGTTAATACTGAAGGAGGCAAGCTGTGTTTTTAAGAAGAACATTAAGCAGCTGTTTGGAGATGAAGGGAGTCAGTAAATCAGGGCAAATTGGTTTTATCCATGTTTGGATTTCATTAATTAAGTGTTTTAGGTACTTTATGAAGCTAATGTTTACTACACAGCATTGCTCGCTCACTCCACTGAGCACTGCCATCAACCAGTGGATAGTAATGGTCTACTTAATAGCAAGAGTTTAACTTAATTTTGTGCGGTTGGGAGGCACTGCTTAGAGGGAGGGAAATGTTATTACAGGTGAAAGCAAAGAGGAATTTGATGAAATTTGACCTTAAAACCTGAAGAACACTGAGTGAGGCTAGCTCATCCTGACACTGGTCACTCCCAAGTTATGTTTCATGCTGGTTACTAATTTTATTAATAATCAGATTAGAAGGTGGTTGTTCTTTTAGTATTTACTCTAATCAATGAATAGTCACAAATTCTTGGGGGTTTAAATCCCTAAGTTAAAAAAAATAGCAGTTATGGTATATTAATAATGCTTCTGCCTTAAGGACTAAGTAGAAAGACCTAGAAGTCCAGTCTTCCAGTCCTGGAGCCTGATTTGATTTTTGCTGTTTAACTTTTTGATTGATTTTACCTGTTTAACTTCCTGAGCTTAGGGATGTTTACTTTCTTCAGATACCAAGAGTCACTGGAAACAATGAAATCATGCATTTTAGTGAATGCACCCTGTAGTCTGTGGTATGGGGATGAGCATTTAATGCATTTAAATATGCGTTCATTGGGCATCTTTGCTTTTTTTGTTTGTTGGCTTGTTTGTTTGTTTGTTTTGTTTTTTTGTTTTTTAGAAAGACATACTAAAAAGGAAGGGATAGGGAACTTTCAAATCAATGTTTTTACTGAACTACAAAAAGTTGTGTTCACTGCCAACAGCTTCATTTTTAAAAATATAAGAGAATAAAAGCCTCTACCTGAATAGGAAATCCAAAATTTTCTTGGGTGAGCCAGTTGCTAAATGCCATATCTTTGTATTAGTGGGGTTCTAAAATTAATTTTGATAAAGTACTCTTGGCCCTAAGCAAGGGTCTCTAAGTATCTCTGCTCCTGAACCACAACACCACCACCATAAAATCATCATTTTTCTTTTTCTTTTTTTTTAATGTAACTTTGTTTTACTAGGTATTTTATTTATTGGCATTTCAGATGTCATTCCCTTTCGCAATTACTCCTCCCTAGAACTACCCTATCCCATCTTCCTCCTCTATTTAGATTTTATATCACTTTAATTACATGTAAGTATTAAGGTCAGTTCTAGGTTGAAGGACTAGCAATACAATAGATGCAAACAGTCAAGAAACAAGCAAGACAATAAAAACAAGTAGTCAAATTACAAGCAAGGCAGTAAACAAAATTCCATGAACACTCCCATGATCACTGTTTCTAAACAGGATGCTTATCAGGATGACCAAAATATCTGAACTAACTTCCTTGTCCTAGCTACTTCCAAAACAACGACCACAGGTACATACAGTTAAATATATCTTAACTACTAATGAAAAAATGGAAGTTGGAATCATAACAATGAATCACGAAAATGATTACAACCTAAAAGATAGAAAATCTTAAGTGCTGATGAATGGGAGAGAAATTGGAAAATATTTGGAAATTGGAAAATATAATCAGCATACTATGATGATCTTTGCTAGAATAGATGAACATTTAGAAAGCATTTAGCATGTTCAACAAAATATTACTTGTCAAGTTAACACATTGGTAAAAATCCTTGGGAATATACCAAAGATAAATGAAAATGTCCACAATAAATATTATCTACACATAGTTGTGGAAATATTATGCATAGTAGCAAAGGAAATGAAATATTTCAAAGGTTTGCCAAGTAAAGATATAAAAAGCATATATGAACTCTCTATAAAACAGTTATTTATGACTGCTCCACATAGAAAAATAGACTAGTAGATTTTATATGTGTACACTGCAAGAAATTACATACTGATACTTATTGTAACATGAATGCAACTCAGAAACATTTTTTTGGATGAATGAAGCCAGATACAAAAATGATTGCTGTGATTCCCTACACAGCTACACTCCAGATGATGAAATCTACAGCAACATGGAATTTATTGGGTTATGTAGGATGAGGGTGGGTTCAGGAGGGAATGGTTATGAACGGGCACAGGGTTTCAATCTGGGATGATTTTATCATTCTAAATTTTGACTTTGGTGATCATCTTAGAACACTCATCATGCTAAAAGTATTCACTTGAACCTTGTGACTTTAGCATGTTAACTGCAGCTCAGTAAATCTTTTAGAAGTCAGGACAGGAAGGTTGTACTTCTATTACAAACTTTTTACTTTCTACTCTTCATATAGTTTTATCTATTGAGTATTTTACTCTGTTTTCTTCAATTACCTTGAATTAAAACAACAAGTGTTTTAAATTTAGTTTAAGGTTTACTTGCCATTTTTTTTTTTTGCCTACAAAAAATCCAAACAGATTTTGTTGGTATACATGAAGCCTAAGATAATCCATGAAAACTTACCGTCCATGTGACTTGAACAGTTGTAGGCGTCAGGACAACTGGATTATGGAGACGAACAATGACATCTCCTAATTCCTTCTGCACTTGTCTGTGGTCCACTCCTTGTGCCGGTGGGCTGATATCTGTAGTTAGAGGAGAAACACATTCCTAGTTTCAAAATTCATTAGCAATTTCCAGTACATTTGATATAATCCAATGTTGAACTAATTGTCAGATGGATTAAGATATGTCATGATATAAAACAACTTGCCATATAAATATAAACACATTATGTATATAAAAATAAGTGTATATGTGTATATGCATTCCATGATGGTTTGGTACAATTTGTTATATTTATCTTCATCAAAATTTTATATTCAAGATTCTTTGTAATTCTTCGTCCCCACATAGAAGGGAATCATTAGATTCTGAGTTAGACTAGAGACTGTACCCTACTTCTTGTCTGGAAAGATTGTTTCTATATAGATATGAAGCATTGAAGTATTTTCCAAGTTGTAAGCTAAGAACTATCACTATCTTAAATTAAAAATTAAAGGGCTTTTTTGTTTTGTAAAAATGCTACAATATGCCATTAGAGCTCTTTAAGCAACACATTTCCATGTCAAGGTAAAGTTTTTCCAGAACTATTTGATTTAAAGATGTCCAATTCTAAATGTGTTTTTATTAATTTCTTCTGCTCTTTCTTCATTTTGTAATGCAACACCCTTACAGAAGTGAGAGGTCTATATCTTAGCTGTAACTTGACTGTGCTAACTTTATCCAGGATGTATGTATATAATTAGAAACCATATAATGTAATTTTCTTTCATTTCCACTGTTTTCATTCTCGACGTCAACAACAAAGTAAAATGTGAATTGATTTAGAGCAAGATGGTTCTTTATCTGAATACTATCAACCTTTGCTGATGTACATGTGTCCTAATGCATATTTACCTACAAGTATTTAGAAGGTTTAATGAAGTAAACGATTTTCAAAGTTAGTCCTTATTAAAGGAACTGAAAACTCACACCTCAAAAGCCAATGAGCTCTATGAAACGAAGTGCTTTGTAGATTGCCAAACAGATGAATATGTAACATCACAAATAAATCTGATATTCACACACAACACGTGAATTCTCCTATGAATTATCTGTTACACGAATATAGGTCTTCAGATATGTGAAGTTTCTCAGTTGGAACAAGATCTGTCTTTGTCTTGGTCTCTGTCTCTGTCTTGATCTATGTCTCTGTCTCTATCTCTCTATCTCTCTGTCTTTCTGCCTCTCTCCCTACCTCTCTATCACACACACACACACACACACACACACACACACACACACACACACTTCATTAGTCCATTAATCTTTGTTGACCTTTCTACTGAGAGTTATATTCTGAGTCAAGACTTCATGACAGGCATGGTTATTCAGGATCATGAAGGTATGCGAGACTGCATCACACAGGAGGTCCTCCCAACCTTGCTCTTTCTCTACCTCGATCTGCAGCTGTACCCACAACAATGGCTGCTATCCCCACAGGTATAGCTAATATACAGTCTGAAATTTCTTGACTTAAAAAAAACATATATCTCTTCCATTTCACACTCAGTCATTTAATTTTACTCCTTCAATCCAGACACATAAAAGCGGTCGCATAGGGATGAGGTAAAATGTAACTACTTTCAGGTCTTCAAAGTCTTTGTTGTGCTTTCTCTCCCTCTGGAGACAGGTTCTTTACCTACATACCCTTCATCATCATGGAAAATTAAGCATACTATGGCGGAGAGAACAAAAGCAGAATACCATCCCCTCCTCCCTCAACTGTCATCATGTCAGCCACGTTCCCATCACGTGACGACTGTATTTGACTTCATTCCTTTACCGCACCCTTCTCTGTGATAATGGCATGCTAGTCACTACCCCTGAACTACATTGTAATTATAATAATATTTTATGGCTGCATGGTGCCTTTCATAGCATAAAAATACTACTTGAATTATATCTCTTTCAAAAGCTCTTACAAATAAAAAATAATTAACCCTTTCTCAAGAACTCTGTGGGGAGTAGATTGTAACAAACAATGAAGGCCCCATTTTCTATTGTACTACTCCTTCTATTACTAGTAGGGAAGGAAAGGATAATACAGCATTCTGTATTATTCCTGCATAGCAGTGACTTCTGTGTCATGACTTCTGAAGTGCTTCTCCACCCCTGCCTATAGTAAAGCACAGGTTACAGAAAAGGAGGAGACAAAAATTTCCATTTTGAAATTAGTCATTTTATTATTCTATTTGATGGTGGTACATTAGTCAGAAAAGTCACCTATGCCAAAAAGAAAGGTTTATTTATTTTTTTCTGAAATAAATGTCTCTTTGAAATGATCATATATATATGGAGACAGGTTCTGTCTCCATACACATGTGTGTGTGTGTGTGTGTGTGTGTGTGTGTGTGTGTGTGTATGTGTGTATGTGTATGTGTATACATCCTGCCTCGGTGGGTTGTAGAATAGAACCCATAAACAGAAAAGTAATTCTAAAAATTCTGTCTGGACATCCATTTTTTAAAGGGTTTATTCTTTTTATCTATTGTGTAATAAAGAAGGAGTAACTTTTTTTCAATTTGGGGATTCTCATTTACTACATAAATACCAACTGTTTGTTTGTTTGACCTATGTCTAGCTTTAAAGCTTTGAAAGCACACATCATAGCAAGGCAATCTGAAAATATTTTCTTCCATGGACAAAATCCAGAGAAATCATGTACAATCAGCATTTACACATTTGCTTTGCTCTTGTTTTAAGTTGATATGCCCTACTAAAGCCAGTAATCTTTCCCAGCTGCTGCAGTTACCTTGTGTGCGTACAGGATCCGACATAGGGCTTGGGTCACTGAGACCTTGGGGGTTGATCGCTCTGACCATGAACAAGTAGATTGTGTTGGGCCTCAGCCCTCTTACTGTATAGAGAGTTGTCTTAACATGGTTTGCCACTGTCTGCCAGCTATTGCTCACTGATTGGCTGAAATAAGAACAGAAATTGATTTAACAAATATTCATAATACAATATCAAATGGTGTTGAGTGTCAATGACAAAGGTCAATGGCTGAAAAATTAAACAGACGAACACACACGCACGCCACTTGAAGTGTTCAGCCCAATAATGAAACATTTGGATGAGTTCAGTTTATTCAACAACAAAGCCGAGCCCACCTAAACGGAGTGCCATGCACAACAAAATTAAACTCAGCCCAGGAGATATGACAGCCCTTGCTAAATGCACAGCAGCCCACTAAATGAATACCTGTAAAAGGAACAGAGCCAAAATCACAACATCAAATTTATACAATAAATATGGTCCTCATAAATGCATATGTATATACCTTGCAAAGAATTAACCTGTAGAAAGAATAAATGGGCTACAGAGTAATTTATGCCAATAAATTTTCCTGTAACAAGGTGTATTTTCGTTTGCATCAATTCCGCATGCAATTTTACAATAGAGCCTTCTAAAACTACATATCTGTAAAAGAAGAGAGGAAGCATGTAATGAATATTTTCCCCTTGGTCACATTTTTAATAAAAACTTACATTACATAGTATTGTGATCTCTCATCTCTAAATGATGACATAACTCAGATTCTGAGTGTGGACCCTTCTAAAGCTGGCTACAAATGGATGCTATTTTAGAAAGCTATATATAAGGTCAAATGCAATGTTGCTAAAAATAATTTTAAAATGGGAACTTTTAGGATTTTGTAATTTTTAGAATCAAAAGTGCTTAAACGTTAAGCATACAGAGTAATGAAAAATATTATTTTAAAATTTGAAAATATGTAGCTATCATTAACTTAAATATGGTGTAGGAAAACTTAACAGAATAGGTGATTATTTATCCTGATGCTGATAAAGCAAATTGGCTATCTTTCAAACTGTGAACCATCAAAGAAAAATACAATGAAACTGAATGTAAAACTATAGCATATATATTTTCCCAATTTTTATTGATTATGTTTAGATTGAGAATGAAATAAAATTCAATGATTTATGAAGTACACCTCTGGACTCATTATGGCATTTTCGTATAGCACAATGAAATACGTATCTTTTCATTCAACATCTATAAGCACATGGAATTGATTTCTTAACTTGCTTTTCAATTTCTTGCGTGAATATCCAATAGATTTCCTCAAGAACACAGAAACAGAAATATTAGAATTATTTTACATGTGTGCTCTAATTATTAGGAATAAATACTCCCAAACCTAGTGTGCCATTATACACTGAATATCTTTAATAAGTTTATATGTCTGGTAATTGAGGATCCTTCCTGGGTCTGATATCCCAGTGTGATACATATATACATGGCATTTCACTTAGCTATGAAGAAAAATAAGATTATGAATTCATCAGAAAATGGATGAATGTGGAAAGTATCCTGTTAAGAAAAATTTCTCAAACTGAGACAAAAATAATACGTGTGTTCTCACTCAAGTATGAAGTCTATACATACATATACTTATATGTATATATACATATATATGTATGTATGAAAAACTTATATATGTATGTGTATGTGAAAAACTTAAAACACTCAAAGGTGTCTGAGAATGTACAAAAATGGGGGATGAGAAAGTATACTATCCTAAACTCTACTTTGTATAAATTATAGCATACAGAGTATAGGCAAAAGAAAATGTGTTACAGTATGTATATACAAGATAAAACTGGGGTACTTATGTTACAAAATCCCTCTTTGTAAACATAGCAATAAACAATGAATTTTATTTTTAATCTTGTTACATAATTTATAAGTGAAAGTTTTATATCTAATTCTGAATAGCCAAAATTAAGTGGACATTCTTAATGTACATGTCTTTGTCCTTAACATAGAGCATCAGGATGGCTCAGGTGAGATTGGAGGAATCAGTAGCTAAGACAAACGTCTAATGGAGAAATGAAACAGGAATTGCCTCATACCTGAAAGCCTCAATGATATATGCGCTTGCTGGAAGTACTCCAGGTGTACCTGGTTGCCAAGATAAGGTGACGCTGTTCTTAGTAACATCAGTGACCTGTGGTTTGGATGGTGGCCCCGGGAGGTCATTTATATCATAATTTTTACTGATTGTTGCTCCAGATTCTGTAGGCAGCAGACAGAGAAAACTTCATTCTTGATTTTGTAAGCAGACAATAAGGCTCAAAAGAAGGAAACATTGAAGAAATTGACTTGACAGTGTGCAATTCATCTTCATAAATCAGACGATGGTAAGCTATTAGCTGGTTTTCCTACGTTGTAATAAATGTAGCCTTCTCTTTTATGCATAATCAACATAATCACTCGTATTTCAGAAGAAATCAAGCAACAAGGTTTTGAGGTGGAATGCGTGGAATTCCCTGGACGCGACGTTATGTGCTAACTAATGTGCAAATTCAAAATTGACATTAAAAGTGACATAGATTTACATCCAATGCATGCAAAATCTTGATCCACCATTACTTTGTTATTCAAATATAACATTCATTAAGAACTCACCTGTTACATCCAGCACTGCGCTCCAGGAGGTCTCCCCACTGGAACTTGTAGCCACACAAGTATATGTGCCAGTATCAGAAATCTAGCACACATGAAAAGAAAGAAATCAATTGTGACAAATATGTAAGTATTCAGTTTTCAGCAAGAATTAGAGTCAATCATGTGTGTATTTGTGTGTGTGTGTGTGTGAATGAGTGAGTGATTTAAGCAACCTTTTGTTATCACAGCTATTAAAGGTTTTCAAAATTATATTCCTTCAACTAAAAGTGATTTGTCTGATAAGCTTTATTTATTAAGTTTTCCTGCCTTTGTTGTAATATTTACCTTTTAACTTCATTTTCTTGTGGGATTCCACTGTGTCACTGTCAGATATAAATGAGCTAACTTAGAATCATGTAGAATTCTACATGCATGCTATGCCTCATAAATGCAAGACTGGCTTTTCTGTATCAGAGAAATTTCATTTCAATAAATGCAAGTATCTAGGACTAAGCAGATAATGAGACAACCATACCTCTGAGACTCCAAATACATTTTAAAAGAATATATATATGTATATATATATTTTAAAGAACACACACACACACACACACACACATATATATGTATATATATAATTTAAGGAGCGCATTCTCTAGTTGTAAGTAAATGGCACCAGTGTAGCACTCAATAACAAAGTGGTATCATCTCAAGACAAACAAAACAACAACAACAAAATCTAAGTAAAAAATAACAATAAAAACAAAAGAACTCAAAACAAGAAGAACAAAATAACGCATATGAAGCTTTGTCATTTTGATAGGACCAAACTCAGAAGGAGCCAAACTACAGAGTTTTTTTAAAAAACGAATTTAAAACATCCAAATTCATTCTCATTTAAAATGTTTTTGTTGCTCATCAAGAATTGCCAAGGACTTTGAGAATAGTTGAGGATATGATCAAAATTTGACTTTAACAAATGTAAAAGTAAAAAAAAAAATTCTCTGCAAAAACCTGAATATTAATAAAACATAAAAATCAAGGGTCCTCATAAAGTTCAGGTTTTAGTGGCTTGCAGTACTAACATTTATTGCTAATAGGTTGGTGGGGTAGAAAAAAATGAATGTGAGTAAAGGCCAAAGAAAAGAGATTAAGGCAAACAAAAGATGAAAAATTTAAGTTCTATGATGAGCATGAGTCTGTTCATGAAATCTGGAAGATTATGGAATATTACACCTTCTGTTTCAAAACTGATCCATGACTCAGCCTCATAATTGATTCTTAGATAAATCATTAGTACATAAAGATACTGCCATGCTACCACTTTAATTGATTTTAAATGCCATTATATATTTAGCTAAAGGTTGAAATTGCTGGAGCATGTCAGTCTTTTCCCTACTATCTCTGTACAATTGTCTTCTATCTTACAGGGATGATAGGAGTCGCCATTGTGGAATAAGCCATCCTTTGAAATGTGGTTACGAGTGCATTATAGTCATTAGGAATCTCTACATTTAAGAAGCATCACTCACAAGCTAAATATAATGAGCTGAGGTTGGATTTTAATGGGATGTTCATTTGAATATGGGCTGTGAATGTGTAAAAGAATTTGCATTTTATTATAGCTGTTGAACTAAAATGTAGCACTTGTTATTCTGTGTAAAAAGAAGAGTATGTAGGTAATGCGTCTTAACTGCATCCCCCTGTCATTGTGTGGAGATATGGGCCTGACATTAGCTGTGGTAGGTAGGTTTTAATGAGTGTTGGAATATTCAACTTCTCAAAAGATACAGATTCAGATACCAATTAACTGGACTAGGAGAACTTAGCATCCATCATGATATTTTGTTCTCTTGCCTTAGGCACTGAAAAAGGAAATCACGAGACACAAAAGATTCTGACCTATAGGAAACCTCTCCACTACACCAGTGAAGTGGTAAAGCCTGTCTTAATCCCCCCTTAACAGCAGCCATTGTACAGAAAAAGAACAATGTGTGCAATTTGGAACCGATCAAAGCGAAATAGCTTCTGAGTCTCACTTTTGTGTTGCCATGAGCATCATCATCATGTTCTTGTTCTCTGTGCTTTAACTTTAGATAGGACGTTTTCTGATCAAGAGGGCTTCACTTTCCTTCTCTCCTTATCCTGTCTTTTATCCTTGACCAACTTCATTAAAAGGAAATAAATAGGTTATCACACTCTGTCACCCCTTTTCTCCTTGGACAGTTTGCTGCAAACTAGCCTCCTGGGGATGGCATCTTAGAGATGTGACTCAAAAGACCTGTGCAAGGAGTCAAAGCTTGTTTGACATCATCAAGCATCTACCTTAATTGCTTCTCTCTAGCACTCCTAGTGATCTTGACTAGCCATACACACAAGCCCTTTAATGCAACAATACAGCGCAAAAAGCATTAACCTTCATTATCCAAGTCTTTCATTATCTCAGAAAGAGGTTAAAATATTTATGGAAGGAGCACTCATATGAATTTTTTAAAATAACTTCCATTTTGTTCAAAGAAAATTAGTTTTAAATTCATGATGAATATTTAAAAGCACAAATCAAAAAGATTCCATATTAATTTATTTTTCTTTGACAGAACTTGGTGATATTTTTCACCTAGAATAAGTTAATTTGCTGTTATTAATGTTAATACTATATATAGATCTATTAAAGTTTATCTACTATTTTCCTTTTTTACAAATATATGTATAGTACACTGATAAATTACTTATAAATGTACAATTGTAAATATATTTTATGATAAAAGAAGAATTATCTTCATAGGATAATGTGCAGTGAAATATTTCACCTTTTACTCTTGCTTCTTAACATAAAAATTGAAGAATCAGAAAACTTCTATTATATTCATTCTGTTGTCTATCTATCTATCTATCTCTCTATCTCTCTATCTCTCTATCTCTCTATCTCTCTGTCTAATCTATCTAATCTATCTAATCTATCTATCTAATGTGTATGTATGTCAAGGATCTTGTGGGGAGGTCATAGGAAGCTTGCAAGCATCAGTTCTCATCTCTCCCTCTTGTATTAGTTAGGAACTGAACTCAGGTCATCAGGCATGTGACCAGGTATTTAGTTTTTCTTTTTCTTTTCTTTCTTTTTTTTTTTTTTAAGCTGAAGGAGAGTTCATTTTTTCCAGTCTGCTTTTTTTTTAAATTGCATATTTTATTTACATTTCAGATGTTATCCCCTTTCCCCATTTCTCCCCCACCCAGAAACCCCTTATCCCATCCCCGTCCCCTGCTTATATGAGGATGTGCCCCCACCCACTCCCTCTTCCCCATCCTCAAATTCCCCCACACTGGGCGTCCAACCTTCACAGGACCAAGGATCTCCTCTCCCACCTATGCCAGACAAGGCCATCCTTCCCTATATATACAGCTGGAGCCATGGGTCCCTCCCTATATGCTCCCAGGCTGGTAGTTTAGACCCTGGGAGCTCTGGTTGGTTGGTATTGTTGCTCTCCCCATGGGGCCACAAACCCCTTTATTCATCCACTTGTGGCTTTGTTTGTTTGTTTGTTTTTCTTCACCTTGGTTTCCTACTTCTGCCCAAGTGCCAGACCAAAATTTTTCTTCCACTGAGAAATTATCCATTTTTTGATATTGTATCTTATGAGCTATCTCAATTCTGGCTTCCATCACCAGTCCTATGTTTTTTAAAAATGTTCTTCTCTACTGTCATGCTAGCTGTCACAGCGCAAGTGGCTGTACTGTATATATGGTTGGGTGACTGGACTATGCTAGCAGTGGACAAGTAACTCTCATAATGGGAGTTCCCAGGTTCCCACTTTTTAAGCAGTCCTTCATCTCTTTAACATGGAGATGAGACCTTTAGACTTGTTCTGGCCAATAGCATACTCAAAGGTGACAGATATCATGTCTGGGATTTAGCACTAAGGGACAGAAATGCTCACTTTCATTGGCAACTTTCATGCTGACTTATAAGACTTGAGCACTAATATTCAGAATACTTAGATAACAAGAGCTTAGAGGCTACCACCAGCCAACAGAATAAGATGGGTAGTTAATCTATCAGTCAACTCTAGGCAACCAGCTGTCACACCACAATGCTCAGAAGGAAGTCAATCCTCCCTCTTTGTTCTGGCAAACCCTTAAACCTAATTGATAATTACTTGCAACAATTGTAGCAGAAACTGTAGCCATGTCACACCATCAATTCCATTTTCAACAGGAATTGTAGGAAACTGTGTGTTGCTTTAAACCACTGATGTTTTTAAATGTAAGGTTGTTAGATATTAGTAAAAAATTAATAAAACATATAGAATCACAGAGGTCTTGGGGTCACCTTTGATGTGGATCCATTATTTCACTTTGTGGATCAATCTATTTCATGTATATTCACTTAAAACACCAGTGAATCGGTCTCAACAATAGGTTTGAATGTAAAATTTGTAGCAACCTAGCTAAAAATCTAAGGGCTTTGCTAACTATCCACATATACCTCCAATAACATCATAAACTCAATAAACTCATTACATCAAGTTGCATCCTGTTATTCTCCGTCAAGCAGGTTTACCCATAGAACCTCACCGTCTTCCTTGACAGAGTAACTAGAAGCATTTCTGATTCTCCAATGAGTTTAGTTGCCTGCTACTATCTATAACTCTCTCTTCAAGATTCTTACTTCTAGAATTGGAGTCAGTAAGTGTTGGCTTAGCAGGCATGAAAACCGAGTTGGATTCCCATGGCCAACTTACAAAAAGGACAATAGTCTTCCCCATAATTTCAATTAACTATTGTTGAACCAAGAAGTAGCATGACCTTTCATAAAACGCTGATGTCAGATTTTTTTTGATACACTGTATAAGTTTTCCTTAAGAAAACTGTTGATAGGATAGACTCAACAACAAGCCAAATTCTACGTACCCGTAAATTCTTAATCTGCAGTGTTCCTTGGTCTTGGATCGTGGCTCTTGGATCTCTCCCCAAAAAAGTAAAGCCCTCCTTTAGCCAGCTAATTACAGGAAGAGGCTCGCCAGTGGCTTTACATTTCAGTAAGGCCGTACCGTCTACCGCAAGTGTTTGGTTTATTGGTCCTTGCAGGATTATGGGTGGAGGTCTATCTGTCAAAACTAAAAGGCAAAGACATATTCAGAAAATTTAGACTTCCATGACATTCAGTTGTCTTGATATATCGACAGTGAAAAATAAGAGTTAACACACAAAGTCTTTTACTATTACTAAAACTTCTTTTGCCTTTTCAATATCCATAATATTTTCCAACTATATACATTAAACATACAATATACTGCACTAAGAACATATTATTGTTTTAATTTACTGTACATTCGTTGTAATTAGAATGATTTGGGGATAGATTTTGACTTTTAGTAAGACTGAGTTGAATTGAAAAGCTTAGTCACATTGAAATTAAAATAAAAATATTGGTAGCATCTATGAGCTGCCAATAATAAATTATTAATATTTTTACTCATATACATGCATATTTTAAAAACCCTATGAGATATATTGCTTGTAAAGCTAAACTCCATCTTTTTTTGTTATAAATACTACATATCATAGCAGTTGCTGAATGCTATATTTACATGAGCTTATGTGTTTTGTGGATGATAAAACATTAGACCTTGAATAATTTAAATACAAAATCATAACACTGGGTCTCCAAACTATAGTCATGACACTTGAATGAGTTTATTGAGTTAATACTCGCAGCAAAACAGAGAAAGCTACTCAACCTGAATGAATGGTGTAATCAAATTCAATTTTCACCTATAATCAGAATAAATATTCAGGATACTTTTACAATGTTCTAGTTCAGTGTGCTTTTTTTGCTTATGAAACACAATCCTATAGCATATTATTTATTGTTTTTAGAAATATTTTAAATGGTTTAAGAAACATATATTAATGTCTGACATTATATAAATGGTTGGTAGAGAAAAAGAATTAGTTTAATATTGTGTTTGCTTAAGAATTCACCAGATTACCTCCAAGTCAAACTGACATGCCCAAGTTAGAAAAATTACATTTAAGAGGAAATGACTATAATAAGAAAGATAAAAAGATTAAAGATTTTTCTTTAATGTTTAAAAGTTTGTATATTTTAATTTTATATTGTACATATAAATATGCATGTATATACACATGTATGTATTATACGAACAAACACTAGTTAGCTTATTTAAATTATATTGAATGTATTCCACATATCAATATATGATGAAAAATTAGTTTTAACTGATCTAGAAATTAATACATAGGTCCTTGCATATGAAGACACTCTGACTTCTGGCCAAGCAGGATCTCTTACATCAATTCCTACAAAACACAATTATCTGTGCATCATAATCTAAAATGTCAACCTCCTGTTTTAGTAATTTTACTAAACTTAGAATTAAATAAAATAACTTAATGGAATAAGGCTGTATAGCAGTATAATATAACAAATCTGGAGAAATGAAAGTTTAACAGAAAGTTTTATGGGTTTTCAAGTTAAACTCAATGCACAAAACATTATACACAGTCCTGTAATTAAGGGAGAAAATGGGCCTTCATTACTCTTCTAAAATGTGTGTATCAAGATTTAAATGTAGCATATCTGTTTCAAGTCAAATGGCCATGCAGAATTCCAGTAATTTCTTATAACCTGCTTTTATTCTCCTACTTCTGACATCATTAGACACAAGCAAAGGTCAACTAATTAGAATTTCCCATTCCTTTCCCCCCACCCCGCTACCTAAATAACTAGCTCATTGCCTTTTGAATGACTCTGATCAATAAAGTAATTGAAAATCTCCTGGCTAGCAGAAATTCAGTCTCAGGGATGTTATGGTTGAAAGATGACCACAGGTTTCCATGACACTGGAGTCAAAGGTTAAATGAACATTTAGGGTTTTCAGTGATCTGTGAACAACTCTGTGGTCTTCTCTAACTGTGTGTTATAAATCCCTAATAAACCATTCAGATAACACAACAGTGTGGCGTTTATTGTCAATGTGAGGTGTGAAATATATTCCATCCTATATGGCTTTTAAATTTTATTGACTCAACCTATAGAATGGTCATTACATTTTTGTTTTAATTTTGAAAGAAAAAGTTGGAGAAACAAAAAGATAAATGACCGTCCCTTATTTAACATATATTTAATATACATATTTAAAATATGAATATGTTGAATACTTTGGTCCAAATATCTTATTTTCAAAGTATTTATGTTAAGGCATTTTCACTGATGTAAAACATGAGAACTTTATTGATGTTAATCATTATCTTTTATTCTGTTAAAGAAATACAGAGGCACAAGTACCAACCCTCTTGCTAGCTAGGGATGCCCTTTTTCATCATAGTAACCCTTGAACAGGTTTCCCCTTCAATTTCATGGCAGGAAATTCTCTGCAATACCAGCAGGTGCAGTCCAGTGTCTTAACATCTCCATAGACAGTGTCTTTCTGTGCTGTTTCTCCCTGCACCATTTCTGTGCTAAATTGGGCCTTTCTATGGACAGGTATTGAAAGATATTGCTATTCCAATCATTTTACATTGCCTTTTAATCTACATGTGAACCCAGATATAAAGGAAAGCAAAGTGAATTTCACCACTAAAAAAAAAAAAAAAAGAAAGAAAGGAAGAAAGAAAGAAAGAAAGAAAAAGAAAATCTGAGAGTATATAGATCAAAAGCCCTGTACCTCATAGCTTTGTTTTAAGAGGAAAAAAAAGTCAAAAAAAAAAAAAAGGGGAAAACTCAGAAAAAAATGCAACAATAATTAAGAATTTTTAGTTGAAGACATTAAAGACTGGGAAAAATTCCTGTTCACAGCTTATACACTATCTGTCCCCTCCCACTCAAGCTGTCAAGTGCAATAAATAAACTTCTGGTGAAATATATCAGACCCTTTTCTACTTCCAGCAGAGATTAAAACTCAAGGTACATACGTGCAAGCAAAAATAATCATAATAATTTTAGCATCATCACTCCTTTAGAATGCATTTAATTAATTTAACTTAGAGAATGTATAATTAAAGTTGGAAGAATGTCATAATGTGATTAGCTAAGTAAAATCTCATTTCTGTCTCGCTGATGATATTTAAAGATGATATTTTCTACTCCTCTATCAGATAAAAGTATTAATATCCATCAGAATGAGTCAGTCGTGCCAGCAAAATACTCAGTGAAAAACCTATAGATTATATTTATAAACATAATGAGTGATGTCATTTATTTAAAATAATACACTCCTGTAAATTTAATGATCTAAATAGCCATCTTCGATGTTCCTTTTCTTAGGCAAATGAGTGGTATGAAATCAGAGAGAATTAGAAACTATTAATCATTGTTGCTCTACTTACGTAAATGTAATACATTTTTACAAGGGAAATGTATATATAGGCATTGAGGCGAATTTTTCAATGAATGAAATATTCTCCCCAAACATGAAATAAAAATTAAAATAATAATAAATAATAAAAATAAAATAATCATAAAATTAATTCCTTTTATGAGAAAAATCGAGTGATGACATCTCACCGTCAGTAACCTCCAGCTGTGCTTTAGCTAAAATGCTGCCTGCTACAGTTAGGGCCTGGCAGATGTAATAACCCGCGTCTGAACGCTGAATGTTGGTGATGGTGAGGTCCCCCGTTGGGGACACTGAACACCGGCTATTGGGCTGCTGAGGTTGATTCGGGAAAAGTAGGTTCTGTGAAAAAACAACAGGAACAGAAAACAGTCTCTTCAGTGTTTTTCCCTCTGCAAGGAAAGTTTCATTAACAACAACTATAACTATTTTGGGAGTATGGCTGGAAAAATGAAATGTATAGATTTAAAAACACGTAGTACTAAAATGTCTATATGGGCCATAGTGGGTTTGACTAGGAAATATTTTCCAAGTCATAAACTGTGAGCCACAAAGTAAGCATGTTCCAGCTGGAGGAACCACCATCTGCAGTTCTTAAAATTAGGACTTTTAAATCTAAATTTGGATTTGAACATAACTCTTGCAGTTTTATAGGCCACAACATCATGTCAATATGCAGATCTGCAAGATATTGACCAAATGAGGATCATTAACATAACGATATCAACTATCTACTTCTTAGTGTTTGCTAGTTATATAGTTCACCTTTGAAATTTAGTTTCCACATCTTTTAGATAAATAGGCAAAATACTACACATATGACCTAGTTTCCCGGCATTTAAAGATGTTGACTGTAATGCTAAGTACAGAGGAATCTTATACTGTATTAAACCTTATATAGTAACAAACAATGTCAAATATCATTGCTGTTGATCAATTTGAATATGTTAGGACAAGTTCCAAATAATGTATATACCATAGGCTGACCAAGGGAAGCTTCTATTTCTAATTTTTCCCTAGCCAGACATACCAGCTTCCAAATGAGCTATGGAAAAAAAATGATATCTAAGCAAAGTTAAGTCAATTCTTTAAAATAAATAAAGGCTATAGCATGGCTTTGAAAGTATGCAGGTAACCTCTACAACCTTCAAAATATTACTTTCTCTTAAAAATAGTTTTCTACACACTTCATTAGCGCCTGTCACACAAGTAATACAGCCCAATCACAAACCCTTAAAGTTCCTCTATCAGAACAGAATCATTAATTTGGATGACCTATGCTGTTTTACTGTTGTTCAATTAAGAAAATCATGTGGATACAATAAATCATACTGAGGTATGTTTCTAGCTGCATTATAAATAAGGACATATCAATTTTTATGTTGTATTTACTTACAAAAAAGCATTAGTACCCTCTGGGATCTGTTTTTGCAATATGGTAATTAATTTTCCAAGTTTGTAATTAAACAATTTCAATAAGTTGAAATCAGGAGGTAATAACATTCAATTAAAGGCACAAGACACATTTTCACCTTAAAATATTTTTACCCTTGAAGTAATGCCAGTGGACGAGGATAAAATAGGGTATTAACACTTTTCAATTACGCTAAATGACTTTAATCCAGCAAATGATGTCCTACTTTAATTAGAAGCTCTTCTCTTTATTGCGACATGATGGATGTCCACTTTATTAGATTCAAGTGAGACACTATAAGCCCACTTTACATAAACATTACCATGCTATTAAATGCTGTCTAAAAGGAGCAATGTTTGCTAGCATGACAGGAATATAATTTCAAAATGTTATTGCCCTCTTCCCAAAGTAACATTACTATATAATGCTAGGCATTTTCATACACTTGAAAGATAATTTGAGAACAAACTGAATCTCCTGTGGAATCCAAATATATTACAGTTATAAAACATCTGAAAGAGAAGGGCCTAAATTTTAAGGGCAATTGAAAATGATACAATAACTCAGAGTACACACGTTCCTACAATTAGCCATTAGAATACTAATTTACATTGCACTAATTTATCAGATGGTCTAATTCTCCCCGGGATCTCTTCCTCTACAATGTAATATTATTCCACTTTCAAAATGATTCGTTGACATGGAAGGTGGCATTTGATTGGCTCTAATCCATCATCTGTGTTCCCAGGTTGTATGGCACAGGCAAAGAAATAGATTACGAGTCAAGCCCAGGAACTCTGCAGAGCTCTAGAAGTGTTTGAACATCATATTAGTAATAATTGGCATTATCAGCATGTATTGAGGAATATGAATCATTAAGTTCAGGGTTTGGTCTCTTTCTTCTGATGGACAGAGACAGATTACTGTAAAAGTTGAATACTGGAAGCAGGAAGACTGAACTTTTTTGTCAATATCTAAATTCATTTGATGAAAATTTACAGTCTGTTCAAAATTTCACTTTTATTCTTAATCTCTCACTTTCTCCATTCCCTCAGGAAAGATACTGGTGAAAGAAATAATATTATATCTAATATTGTAAGCAAACCAAAACACATAACAGCAAACATTATGTATTAACATCGTTAGAATTTTATTTCACTTTGTCAGACCACATGGGGTGATGCTTAAAATCTCCTAATAATTACTATTCAACATCATTGATTATTATGTTAGATATCCTCTGTTCACAGGACGAGAGTATGAGTGTACATTTTAAGTTGTACACTTTTAGAGCTATAACAGGGATGTTACTTGGATATGAATTTATGTTAACCAACAGCTATCTTTAATTATTGAAAAGACATGATTCTTAATTATTGAAAAGACATGATTCTTAATTATTGAAAAGACATGATTCTTTATACCATGTGTTATAATTCTATTTGAAATAAACTTTTTCTGTGAAGAGTAAAAGAACTCCTCAGGAGAAATTCATCTCTTGCAAAGTCTTCAGAAGATGTGTCAATATCAAATTTTGACATTTAGATAACTTCCCTTATCCCCACCCCTCAAAACAATTCACCAGAAGTTGGAGTGGCAAGAAACCATTTGAAAAAGAACACTGAGTGCTTCTTTTTTGAGAAATGACTGCCTTCTTGAGTTATTTATAGAACCTTCAGAATGAACAGACAGCTCATTTCAAGAGGAATGTGGAGACAAGTTCTTAGTCTAGGTTTCTTAATGTCTCATCTGCTTCAAGATGGAAATGTGTATTGTCTCAACTTAGAAGCTAAGCACTTGAGAAAATTAATGTGTCCAGTTGAGTTTTCCGAAAGACTTTGAGAGATGATGTTTGCCCAGAAGGATCACAGCAAAAACAAGATAGTTGTTTCCTGTGTAAAATGTGTTGTTTCCTGTCTAATTTTATTATGAAGAAATCCAGAGGTGAACAAAGGAAGAATAGAATTCCTTCATTATTAAATGAAAGTGTACTTAAGTTTGTGGTCTTTTTATACTGCCAAGACAGAGGGTTGAAATTGGATTCTATAGCAGTTAATACTGGAGTTTTAAAATGCTATTTCATCTCTTTTATACTAAGAACCATTCTAGGCATTTTATATGTGATACTTCATTTAATCTTACCATGCCACTAGATGTGAGAAGGCAACACAACCATTGCACTCAGAAATTTTCAATATCTGTATAAGTTGGCGTTCTAACTATTTTATTTTTATTTTTTGTTAGATACAGGATTTTAAAAAAAAATAAACCTGACAAATAAAGAGTGCTGTAGTGGAACACTTGACATCCAATTACTTTAGAATCATTTCTTTTTCAGAAATAACATACAGTGAGCATAGATAGAAGGAGAAGACAGGTTCTGGGGGTCACTGAGAGCGGAGAAGTTCAGAGATGTCAGAAAAGCAGTCATGCCCCACTCACCTGGCTGCCTTCTTTCTGCCAAAAAACAGCTGGTTGTGGGTTTCCTTTAGTTTCACAGGGGAATGTCACTGTCCGGCCCTGAGCAACGATCTGATCTCTTGGCCTAACCACAAACTGTGGAGGAGCTAGAATTTGAAAGGAAAAGACAGAGTAAACATCGACCTTTTGACAACAGTGAAAAAGATATCAAAGAGGAAATCTGGCCTTGGGTGGCTGGCTCAGCGTAGGAGCCAGAACAAGGCTATGTGACCTTACTTACTTTAGTTGATTTCTCACAACACAATAGGAAAAGAAAAAACTCTCAAATTGCAGAAAGAAATGAGGTTATTAGCAAACATACTTTAAATATTGTGCATTAGCATCCTGTGTGTTAGACATTTGCTTAGGAAAATGATGCCTAATAATTATAAAATTCATGAGACAAAATGTCATGGCCAGTTTGGAACTATATTTTGAATAAATCATCACAAAAAAGAGTCAGTGTCTTAAGCAGCTATCTCCTTTCTCAAAAGTCAATGTATTAGGAAACACAAAATTCTTTATAGTGTTTTCAGGATATTATATGAGATCCTGAAGTCACAGTAAAGTTTAAATGTTATCCTGATTCTTATCAAACGGTTTAATACTCAAGGCTTGATGGATCCAAAACATTGAAGTACTGGAGAGATGAGGACTACATATAAAGGTAACTAATAATATAAACACATGGTTTGCAACAGTTTATTCATTTCGAATAACTTCAGTTCAGCAAACAGTAATCAGGCAATTAGTACGTTCTACTAAGTGCTATAAAGTTGGAAATGTAAGGCTCAAAAGTTGCAAGGTCTTGTGAAAAAAGTATACACTCAACACTGATGACAATTGTGAGTTCAGAGAGGGCCATTCAGAACACCACAGAAGACGACTTCAGTTATGCTGCATATAGCATATTGGATGAGACTCAAGAGAGGAAATCTGTATGATGACAGCTTTAAATGTTCTTTGGAGAGGAAATGAGCAGTATAAGAATTTTGAGTAAAGAGCATCATTTAGACAGTGGAATGTTGAACACTTTCCACATCAAGTGCCCACTGAAGACTTTAAAAGCAAGATGGCATCTAGTACAACATTGTGAGCTGGGAAAGAAGGGAAGGTTAAAACCCTTAATGGTGTATAAACAAAGGATCGTGCCACCCTGCCAACCCTACTGTGCATATCTCTAATCTGAATGATAGCCACAAAATAAACTTCCTGGAGGCTTTAACAGTTGAATGAAGATGGGAGACATGAGAAACATTTATTCAGTAAAGTAAGGCACATGGTTAGGAGACTAGAAGAATGCTGTAGGTAAAGATGAAGACCCCAAGAAGGACTGACTCTATTAGAGAAAGAAAGTGATGAAAATTAAATTCTAATGATGCTCATGATTGGAGGGAGTCTAAAGATTGGAAAGTGAGAAGCACTAGAGGATATCCAGACACTTCCACAAGGGCTTCTCCACACCATGCACTTCCAGGGAAAACACCGTGTTATCCTATGACTATTAGAATAGCTTTTTCTACTTTAAAAAGGTTTTTTTTTTTTTTAGGCCAGAAAGTTAAATACCAATCAAACAGTTTTAAACCAGCTCTCATTTGTAGTACTGAGTGCAGATAGAACATAATCATAAAAAGTGGACACGAGAATTTTAACAATATGCGGTGTCCAATTAGGGCAGAACCTAAAGAGGCATTAGAACAGGATATCTCCATTAACATACTGCCAAGTAGACAGCTTTACCCAAATTCAACCATTGTATAAAGACCCTAGTTTTCTCTAAGAAAAAAAATGATGCTTATTTAGAATTAAATTTTGTATTCTGTTATAGTTCCTTTTTAGCCAACCCATCCAACACATAGTGTGGAGACAAAGGAGAAAAATTCTTTAAGTTTAATCTTTATGACTGTCGATTATGAATGACTCATCCAACAGCACGAAGAAAGCAAATCCATTGATCTATTTGAGCAGTGTTGTTCGTGTGGCCTTCTAGTTTTCAGAGGTTCACGTGATTCTCACAAGTTCTTGGTATTTCTATATTATTAAGCTGAATTGGAAGATGCATTGATGTCTATTTTTAATAGGAAAATTGCTTAAATAAATATTATATAATTACATTAGGAAAACATTAAAAACACCCATTTTCTTTTTTGTGTTTGTTTTCTTTGAGACAGGGGTTTATTTGGAAGCTCTGGCTTTCCTAGACTTTTGTTTTGTTTTGTTTTGTTTTTTTCATTTTGGACAACAGGCTGATCTCAAAATCAGAGATCCAACCATTTCTGCTTCCTGGGTGCTAGGATTAATGGTACATGCTACATTGCCTGGCTTCAAAAGTGTCCATTTGTTCGGGAGACAGGAAAATATGAGATGTTTACCATGAAAAACATTAACATTGTTCATATTACTTATGCTTTGTCATTCTTATAATAGTTATATATTTTAATAAATATGTAAGAATCAGTGTAAAAGTATTTGCCTCTACAAACTCAATAAGAAAAAATGAGTAATGACAACAAGGATATTACCTCCTGAGAATTGTTGTATTGTTTAGTTGGCATCTTCTCTTCAAGATGCAAAAACTCACTTAATCAAAATCAGTAATGTGACACTCAAAAATAGTAATAGAAAGCCCCATATTTAACATATTAGGTCAGGTGCATTTCTTGCTATGAGAAAGACCTTAAATTGTCCCAAATATATACTAGTAAAAGTTTGCAGATGTAGGAGATCTAACTAGTACTGCTTTATTTCATTTTTAGTCATAATAACTAATAGAACGTATGATAGAGTTACCAAGTAAGAATGTGTAAAAGCATATTTTCATATATCATTTACTAGTTTTGGCAAATTGCTGTAGGTACTTGAGTGATATCTTTAGATTTCTCTAAATTTGAGTTCTCATTTTTAAAAATATCCTTTTTTAAAAGATTTATTTTATTATTTTATTTATGCATGTGTGTGTATACTACACAAAACTTGTGTATATGCATTCAGATTCCCATGGAAGATACAGGCCAGAAGAAGGGATCCAGTCCCCTCCACCTACCGTTAAAGGCAGTTGTTAAAGGTTCCAGATGTTGGTACAGGAAAATGAATGTGAGCTTTTTGGCTTTTTTTGATGAATTATTTCACAAAATATTTTTAATTCCATATCTAAAATCTTGTACCAAGATTCAAAACATTAACTCCCCAAACAAGTACAAGAACACAACTATACCGTACATTTACTTTTATGAGACTAGGCAATTCATATTTTTATTCATTCTAACTATTTGACTGACTACAAATTATGAGATATTCTGCTTATTACAGAGAATGGAAAGTAAATAACAATGGGCTTGTGTAATCCTTGAATTTATATAAACATAAAAGTAAACAAAGCAGAATATGATTGAAGCAATTGTTATTAGATTTTTTGTTTGCTTGCTTGCTTTTTAATGAAGTACTCAGGAGGTGTAGGTAGTTTATCTCTCTGTGAGTTTGAGGACAGCCTGGTGTATACAGAGATTTCCAATCATCCATGGTGACAAAGTGAGACTTTCTAAAACCTGAAATGCAGAAGGAACTTGAAGAAACAGTAAGGAGAGAACTAAAGGACAACGCAGAGTGAGGAAAGAAGAGCAAGTCACTTTTGAGCTGTGCTGAATACAGGCCGACCAAATAATTCAGGCTAAAGGTGTTTAACATATTATTCTGCATAAGATCTATTCACAGATATTTTTTTACAAGGAATAAATCAGATGAGTATTTCAGAATGAATGTTCTGGAAGTAATACAGCTGCTAATCAGAGACACTGAATAGGAAACCAGAAAGGGAAAGAGCAAGAGAACCTTAGAAAGTTGTAGCCAAAAATAAAAAAATAAAAAAAAAATCTAGTGGGAAATAGATTGTATGGAGGTACTTAAAGGAAACATGCTATCATGTGAACAACTTAAATATATTCTTCCACACTGTAGTAATTCATGGTAGTGGAATAAAAAAATAGAAGGAAATAATAATTTTCTGAACTTTTATTCTAACTTTATAAAAGATGGCTGCCAAATGTTTTGTTAGTACTATTTTTAAAATGTGCCTTACATTAGATATTTACTCATAATGCAACTTTCTTCAAAGTCACTGTATAAAAATGCTACAGTTCAAATGATTCCATTCACTTCTTGTAGGCCAGAATTTCAAGACTCATGGCTCCCAAAAGATCTGCCATTGTCTTAGCATTATCTGATCTTATAAAACACTGAAACATTTAACAAAGCAAAATTCAAAGAATGCTTGTATCTTTGAAAATGCTTGAACTGTTGTCACCTAAAATCCAGACAACAGGAAAAATTAAAACAATCACTTTTCCTTGGTAAACTCCCTGCCAAAGATCTATATTGCAATCTCTGTGAGAGAAGATTGGCTACAGAAATTTATTGGGGGGGGAGGCTAAAATGAAAAACGACACCAATAATTCTTCTGAGAACACTCCAGTATTTCCTCAAGGTGGTACTGAAAATGGTTTTAAAGAAGGGCTTGGGCATTGGCAGCAATGGGAGGGAGCAGCCAGAGGAGGCATTCCATCAACAGAGCACAAAAGCCCAAAGTGTGCTGTACATGAACTAGAGTCCTGAGAGAGCTCTCACTAAATATAAGAAACAAAATTAGGCCCTCAAGATAGTAATTCAAAACCCACATTTAAACCCAAAGCAAATTGGAAAGATTGACTTATAAACTCCAAATGAACTTGCTTACTAGAGAAATACCAATTATCCTATATGTCCTTCATGGAAAAAAAAACACCTGCAAAATATGTATTTATAATCTCAAAAACCTAAAAATAATATTAGACAAACCTCTCATAATTATGATGTATTAATCCACTTGCTCAATCTGCCAGATGATTATATTTTAGTGCTATTTCTGAATGAAGAGATATGAAGACACCCGGTGCCACAATTCAGTGTTTAATTAGAACACGTTAAAAAAAATAGCTCTCTAAGAAAAATACATTGCATGGATTCTGGAGAAGCACGCTCCTATATCAAAAGGTCAGTTACGTTTGCAGGTCTGGGATAGTTCAGCTGTAACTGTGTTTTCAGAATTTGAATAAAATGCACAGTAAATTAGATT